GAAGTCTTATCAGGGCAGCGTGGGTGAAAAGAAGTATCCCTCTGTCATCTATTGATGTAATGTTGGCATCTATTTCTAATAATTCATTCAAGAAATACGACATTTACCTTAGAAAATGGTATGAATTTTGTCAAACCAATATTATAGATATCTATGAGGCATCAATCCCAAAAATTATTTATTTTTTAACAAAATTATTTAACGAAGAAGCCAATGATAGTACTGCTAATAGTTGCAGATCAGCTCTGGCTTTGATTGTGGGTCATGCTATGAGTAACGATGATAGAATCAAAAGATTCCTGAAAGGAGTATATTGTCTTCACCCTCCATTGCCTCGATACAGTATCTTGGGATACGTCTATCGTACTGGATTTCTCAGGAAATTGGTATCCCAATGAAGATATGCTTTTAGATATAGTCTCAAAAAAGTTAATTACCTTGTTGGCATTAACAACTGCACATCGGGTTTGAACTTTTTCAAAAATACTGATCGAAAATATTGATTTTTTTCACGATAAAGTATGTATTAAAATTGCTATGTTTTCCGTTTTCCACTGAAAAAGTACAAATATGTCCAGTGACAACGCTGTTAACTTACATTAATAAAATTAAAAATCTTCGTTTATTTCTTGCAAAAATCTTATAAAGCTACTTCTACACAGACTCTGAGTAAATGGATTAAAAATGTATTATTTGAAAGTGGGATTGATACCTCAATATTTAGTGATCACTGCACACGATATGCCGCTACGTTTGCAGAGTTTAGACAAGACCTTACTATAGATAGCATAAGGAACACAGCGGGTTGGAGTGGTTCCTCTAATACTTTTTTAAATATTATAATAGATCCACTATTGACAACAATAAGGATACAAATGATTGTTTTACGAAAGCAATAATAAATAATTAGTTAACAAGAGATACAAAGGATTAATTATGTATAATCATAAATTAATGGTAAGAGTATCTTCCATTTGATTTTTGTAATTTTTTTGTAAAATTTATGATTTTGTTGCTTCAATAATTTTATTTTTAAATATTATCAACAAGTCTTACATACTTTCCGACACTGCTCTAAAAATCTACGTGTTGTTATATGCTAATCTTGAGGACGAAGACAAGTATAATTGATGATTGAACTTCACGTAAGGTAAGTTCGTTTAATCATCAATTATATTTATAACACTATCAATTTCGCATTCACAATACTATACTGAAAAATATTCTTAATAAATTTCTCACATCTTAAGGTGCCAGGGATCAAGTGAATTTTTTAAGAATTTTTCATTAAGAATATTGTAAATAACATTTTTAATACTCTAAATCCAGATCGACGTACGGCTGCAACACGTTTCATTCAAAGAATACGGTTATCATAATAGTCGTCGGATTTTCTAGTTATGGGTAAAAGTTTATTTTAATTATTGTTTAAGTTGCTTAACATAAATGATAAGCATTAACAGCGAATCTAATACGACAAAATTATGTACAACACACTCTTGATGGCGCCGAATGTGAAGCGACCCTAACATTGACGGCACGGTGCCGTAGACTCAATTAGCTCACTAGACGGAAAATTACCTCGCGCCAAAATAAGCAATGATCACTCACACGGCTAGCTTGGGCACCATCTTATATTATTATTTACCTTACCTAATAATAAACATACTACAATAAACCACGTTTATATTTGACCATGACATCTGCCATATCTGCAATCATTGGCACTCCGCAATCCGTACTGCTTTCTGTATGGTTGTAATAAATAAATTTATGAGGTAAAGAAGGTTTGGAATAAAATTTAGTACCTAATGGAATATAGAAGTCTTCAAGGTTCCATAAATTACTCTATTCCTTTTGTTGTGAATTTTCTAAGAAACATATCGATTGTTCATTAGCTCGGTCGAGCAGCTGCGATGCTATCATTTCTATAATAAAAGTTTATGCTTTGAACCACAGATTCTATTATCGCTGAATCGACGCCAGCACAGTAATTTGTTTCCCATTATCCGGAGAGAATATATTGTGTTGGCCGATTTATAGCTGAAGAAAATATTGCATCGTCATCATCCGATGTTAGAGTCTGTTAATCAATCAATCGCTTATTTATCAAAGAAAGCGCTTGTTTGTTCCTGAACAAGGTATTAAGAGCGCTTTCCCATTGGCCGGCTGAAGGTCATAGCACACTTAAACAGCACGGCTCCAACCGGCTTTTAACTTATCGTCATATAATTCATAATCTACATATACCGTATATAAAAGGAGATTTCCTTTTAAATCTTATGTTTTACAAATATGCCCGTACTAATATTTAATATAGAAATGTATTTAAAGGGAATCCTGCCTCTTATAACACTGGGTAACCTTATATGAGAGCAGTTGACATTGTGAAAGAAAAAAAGGGGGGTAAAATAAATACATTTTGAAAGAACAAAATTCGAGAATATTTATGATGCACTGGACTTCCCGAGACAAACTACTTCAAGTCGACAACAGGTAGGGATATTATTACATATCGTAATTGTTTCATATTTAAAGTTTGCGAGATGATCTTGGATTATGATGACGGAAGAAGGGTTTTAATTAAACGGTTTCGTTGCAACAACCAACTTAGTATAGTCAGTTGTTACTCTTGAAGTATATATAGTACCTTTCAGTGTATAATTTATATATACATATAGCCTGTATATATGTACAGCCTAACCCGCTCGCTCACGCCAAAAAATCAAGTAAAACGAGACTTACACTTGTTCCTGAACAAGGTATTAAGAGCGCTTTCCCATTGGCCGGCTGAAGGTCATAGCACACTTAAACAGCACGGCTCCAACCGGCTTTTAACTTGTCGTCATATAATTCATAATCTACATATACATATATAAAAGGAGATTGCCTTTTAAATTTTATGTTTTACAAATATGCCCGTACTAATATTTAATATAGAAATGTATTTAAAGAGAATCCTGCCTCTTATAACACTGGGTAACCTTATATGAGAGCAGTTGACATTGTTAAAGAAAAAAGGGGTTAAAATAAATACATTTTGAAAGAACAAAATTCGAGAATATTTATGTTGTACTGGACTTCTCGAGACAAACTACTTCAAGTCGACAACAGGTAGGGATATTATTTCATATCGTAATTGTTTCATATTTAAAGTTTGCGAGATGATCTTGGATTATGATGACGGAAGAAGGGTTTTTATTAAGCGGTTTCGTTGCAACGACCAACTTAGTATAGTCGGTTGTTACTCTTGAAGTATATACAGTACCTTTCAGTGTATAATTTATATATAAATATAGCCTGACCCGCTCGGCCTCACGCGATTCTGTTTCATATATTAAGTATATCGCGCTTCGAGCAAATAAATGGAAGGAAAACTAGCTTCTACACGAGCGTGGCGCAACTCAGCGCGAGCCAGATGTAACTGACTCTTGTATTTTAGTTGCCGCGCTGCTGAGCCGGCTAATATAAAAGTTCTTTAAGGTAACATGAGAAAGTAACAGTCATAAATGACAACAATTTAGGCGCATTTTTTCATCATAATAAGGTAAAAATGGATAAGGCAGGAAATAAATTATGATTTAAAACAGGCAATATACGTATATTTTAATAAAGATTTCTTAAAACGAAAATGCTGTATTATAAAGCTCATTAGTCTCATGACGGTGGTTTTTCTTTTTCTATAAAAAATCACTCACAAAAATACTCGCAATTTAAAGAAAAATCAAATTTAGCTAATTAGTTTCTTTAACATAAACTACATTGCCGACATCGTTGTCAGTGAAAATTCTAAAATTTTTTTTTGGGTATCAGACTGTCAGATCGTTGCTAATAGTCAAGCTTTCTTATACCTTTAGTGTTGCTAGTGTACAAAATAGATGTGTAATAGCATTAACGTTATCAACTATCGGTGGACGGCGCAGGTGCGTGCCGTATCTACCAGGCTACAATTTGATCTATGAGAAACGTAAGCACATATCTTAATAGGGTAATTTATCACACTTTACCAATGTACTACACCTAACGGAGAATATGTAATGTATGCTACAGTTGTCTATAAAAAAGGTGTGCTTAATGTGTTGCTAAGTGCAAAACTGGAGGATGGCTAGTTTCTACGGATTCTAAGTTCATAATAACTTAATAAAATCCGAGGACGATATTATCGAAAAATAATTAAAAGTTGAGAGAAAGTTATTGAAAACAACACATGTTTCCCAGCCGAGTTAGCCGAGATATATATTAACCATCTATAAATAAATATGTTTATTATAAACAAGCTTGGCTAAATTATAGCCTTTTTCACCCGCCTATGGTGTAACTGATTTTTACAATAGGTCCGTCAGTGTCGGAGCCTATTTAATGCAAACAAACAATCAAATCTTTCCTCTGTTAGTTATATTAGTTTTATTTTTTTTACCTGAAGCCTAGGGGGTGCTTCTCACCCCTCATCTAAAACCCAACGCTTCACTGTATAATATTTATCATTTGATATAATTACTGATGAGTCCATACAAATAAATCAGTTAACATTACCTACTATATTCTTTGGCAACATAATTTCCTCTCCAGTTGATCACGTACTTACCTACAATGTTCTTAGTTCCCTCACCACTATAATCGAGTTAATTTATTATTCCGAGTCACGGAATTTCATCTGCAGTGTCGTGTTCCTCACCCTTGTCCGAATCTATATTAAACTTAGGCTCTGAAACTATTTTGAATCTATAGTTTAGATTTTCCAATGTAAATTATAGATTCAGATCTATTTTTAATTTTTGCCCAGATGAAACTTTTTCAAAATAATGTTTTTATAAAGAATAAAAGAGTACACAAATAGTTCAAAATCAATCTAGATGTCTCGAGAAAGAAAAGATCTATTTTTTTAAAGTTTACTTTATATTTAGATTATTTTTGCGATTCCCAGTATAACACATAAAAATGTCTGTTAATTTATAAAGTACCAAAACATAAAATAGCAAATTTATATCCGATGTATTAAACTAAGCAATTTTACAGCGAACATTGTTTTTTATGTCAAGCTTAATTGGAATTAACTATTTTTTTTTTGTTACAGACATACAAAATGGGTTGTCTGTTGTTATTCTTCTCTTTTCTACTGATCTCAACTGTTTCTGCTCAAACCGGTAAGTGGAAACACGCAATTATCTTTTGCGTTATTACATTATTTCATCTTAAATCATTATTACTAATAAACAATTCTTAATCAATATGACATACAGGTCAGATCTTACATAAGTGAAATACCAAAACAAATATTTTATAGAAATAAAAAAGAACTAAAGTACCACTTAGACCCAAAACAATATTCACATTGCTAGTATCATTACAGTGAAAAGATGGCACTTATTGAAATAAATAATATCTAGAAAGTCCTTATTCCTTTTCAGACTCGAGAGATTATTTTTTATTCACGACATTATACAACGAATATTCCAGAAACCGAACCACCGACAACGGTAACGAGTAAAGCGCCCCCCACCACTACTCTGACTTCAACCTCGACGATCGCTTGGGAGGAAACCCTGAATGAGGGGCAGGCCATCCAGAAAGCACTGCAGTACTTGTTGCAACACCGCCAGCCGGACTGGGGATGGGGAAATGATACACACCATGTCATGCTGACACTACAGGTAAAAATATATATTAACTGACTTTTGATAGACAACATGTCTGTAGCAATAAGCTTTCATGATTTCACCCGAGTCTTGCTTGAGTGCTCATGCAAATGAAAGAAAATATATTTTTGTTTCTGCTTATTATACGAAGGAAAAACATTTCTTTTTCCAAATGCCACACCCTTTCACAACTCTTTTGTTTCTTCATCAATACACTTCGATGCTACCAAACTCATTTATTGCTCCCGTTTTATGATTATACGTACAATCGTACACATATACATACTAACTAATTGAGTATTATATTTAAATTGATTGCCTACAGAACTTTTAGTTCTTCTTTTTTTGAGATTCTCTCGAAATAGTTCTTTTTTTAATGAATTGGTAGGCCGTTGGAATTATTTGCTGTCCCAAGGACATGCTAGACTTAACTGTGACTAGATTTTAATGACAATTAATTGTGAACGTTGTTACAGTTGGCCAACAATACCGGTAAGGAGATAGAGCAACAAGGTCTGGAGATGCAGCTGTCAGCCAAGCAGATGGAAATTGAGATACTGCTTATGATGTCAAAGTAAGAGAAAACAAAGCATCAATAACAAACACATCTTGAGAAAAATCTTCATGTTTAAAATAATCTCTTCGTATCCAAACTCAAATCCTGGCTGTATTATGATTTTTCGCAGGTTTTATGAAAGTAACCACATTATCTTATCTTATTTCGCCACGCCCTATCATTAATGTAGTATCTACAAATATGCAACTTTACAGGAGAGCGGTTTAAAGATGAAAAGTTAAATAAAAACGATATTTTAAGGGTTAGGATTACGAAATTAGGCATGGGTGTTTTTAATTCTACGATACATTAAACAAATATAATAGATTAATGTCACGTGAAGCTATTTTACACGGACAAATTTTACTATCTTACGAAGGATGTGGTAGATCCAACTTTTTTTGTTGTATAAAATTCTGTACCACATGTCGGATGTGGCACATTTAATATTTTTGACTAGATTAAATTCTGTAAAATAAGTCGGATATTATTTTACAGAATTAGGTATGAAGTTTTTGATCGGAAAACTAAGTATATTTTGTTAATTTTCCTAGATACGTTGTTTCTTATACCAAAAAAATGGAAATAATTTGCTATACAAAATTATAAATTTGAAATCTATTTTTCTTATAAAATATGAGTGGTAAGTCTTTATATAAAGTTAATAACTTTGTAATATTACCTATCACATTACATGCACCATTTTCAACAACTGCGTTGTTGGTAAAATAAGGCTTAAAATCCTTGAGAATCTGCTTCTTTGCGGTCGACCGACATTATATCTTTTGAAATCAGAGTGTATGTAATGTTTCACAACAATTTGGCGCTCCAAAGAACCTACGTGCATTTTTCCCGACATTAACTATGTAACTGGCAGATCGACGCAAGATCGACGCATCCACTCGTCGGTTATGTCCGATCAAAATTGACTGTAAGTGAGTACCTTCATTTTTGTACGTATACAAGCGACACTACCGACATTAATAACGTAATTATAATAAAATCAACAATTTTTTTTTGTGATATTTTTCCTTACACCCTTTTATGAGGTTTTATACAAAAAAAAAAAAACAAAAATCGTTAAAATGCAGATCCCACATTAATGATAGGGTGTGGCGATTTATTGTCTGATCTCAATAATAACCATTTGGTACAAACAATAAAAACATTCAGTCAGTCGCCACCACAGACTTATTGTGTCATCTGTATCCAATTGTGAATTTGTTACGATGTATAGATACATTACCAACCTTGGTTTCTTAATTTAGTTAATCCTTTCTGACATGTGTCCACACTACTTAGATTTGATCTAATTTCAACATATTTTTTCATTATTTTAAAAGTCAAATAGAACATTATTAGAAATAAAAATTCACGGACAGCAAAATTAAATCAATAGCCTCTTTAAAAACTCCAATAGATCAGCTCTAAGATCGAAGGTTTCTAGTCTCATCGAAATCACCTGAGAAAGATGACTTACAGCATTTTTATTTTTCTAAAAATGTTACCAACTTCGAATTCACTATCATCTATTCAGTCTAGAGTGTTACAAGCACTCGTAAATAGCGAAAGCTACGCTACTGTTTCGCAAATCTACGGCTCGGCACCTTGTTCTGAGCAGAACCTGCAAGTAACTCAGCAGGGGCTGCTTTTTCTCCTCACAAAACCAAATTCATAACAAAAACTAATCATAATAAAAATTAACTAATAATTATATATTTCTTAGACATCACGAGTCGCCTCCTCCACTTGGTCGACTAGCCGCCTACACGTTGGCCCTAGGAGCGTTGTGCAAAGACCCTCGAGCGTTTTATGGGCGAGACTTGGTGGCGGCCCTGTTGCACCGGGAGCCACCTCACGACCTCGAGTTTGCGTATGCGACCTTAGCCGCCTGCTCCTCTGCTGCTCATGTACGCCGCCGACATATAAGACGACTGTTGGACATCGCCAATGCTGCCGCAGACCACAGCCTAGGTAGGAATTATCTTCTATTTATCAAAAACCATATTGATATAATTAAGGATATAAAAGCCGTTACGATAGGGCTCTATGTCAAGCCAACGATATCGAACATGTTTTTATATCATAAATATCGTTTTTGCTATTTTTATATGTCGTTGTTATGTTACTTTTAATAGAAAATATTCGATTTAAAAATATAAATTCAAGAAAAAATTACGTATATCCGTTCAGTGGGGATGACGAGGTTAAGCTGACCTTTCTACCTAAACCCAGTGTATCGTCAGAAGACCAATGAATAGTTACAATTATAGTATATATTGTTGTTTCGTTTCAGACACTATATCGATGGTGATATTGGCCCTACGGTGCGTGGTGCAGGACCACCGTCACCGCAGCCTGCTTCACTTCGTGCGGCGGCCCATGGCGGGACTCGCGAGGCAACAACACCCCGACGGCAGCTTCGGACCGCTCACCACCACCGCTCTGGCTATACAGGTGCCGCTTTAAGCCGTCATATTTGTTGAAATTATCTGTCTACTCTATTTTTTTCGATCATCTAGGTAGCATTAATTAACAACTAGCTGTTTTCCCGCGCCTTCGTCCGCGTAAATTGTAGGCCCTCGCGTTTGACGGAGTTTCCTATAGGTTAAATAATTTTTAAAATAGATCTAGCCGTTTCGGAGTTTATTCAAAGCAAACGATGAGTAATCAAATCTGTTATCTTTATTGTATTAGCATAGATATATTCGGAAGAATAAACAGACATGTCTCTGCGTACAATTTTAACCGACATTTGTCAGTTTTTCTATGAAATAATGTTCTCGGGCGGCAGGCTTTGGAGGACTCGGACAGCGGCCCCGGCGCGCACCAGCACTGGAGCCTGCCGGGCGCGCGGCGCTGGCTGCTGGAGCGGCAGCGGGGGGACGGCGGGTGGGGGGACGCCGCGCGCACCGCCGCCGCCGTGGCCGCGCTCACGCCCGCCTCGCTGGCCGCCGTGCGCCCGCCGCACTGCAGCGACAAGCTGCTCGACAACCGCCACGAGCCGCTAGGTAACCCCCCTGCATCTGACCCGAGAAAATGAAGGCGTTCTGCATTCCTATTCTGTAATAAAATCGGCCTCAACCTCGACGCCGTAGATCACTTGATCTCATAGATGATGTTACCCTCGACGGATTTTGCAAAAGGCGCAGAAACATTAAGCAGATATCTGTATTGCAGACAGCAACGGAGGTGACGGCAGTCTGAAGTTAGCTTACCAATCGGGGCAGACCGCCAACGACTCGGAGGCGCGGAACGTCTCCTTCACGTACACGCTGTGGCTCGGCACCAATGTTACAGAGAACTACACCTTGCACATGGTCGCTCCCAGGTAGGAATTGTTATATTCGAGGATGGACACCGTGCCGTCGTCCACGGTATCTAAATTGAGTCTTCGAACAGATAATAGTTACTTTGGATCGGTAGTTCTCAACTTTTCTTAACCTTTTTTTGGAAGGTAAAATGTAAATCAGTAATAAATCCGTTTATTAAAAGACGTTTTTCTTTGTTTTCTAGTGTATTAAAAATTTAAAAGAAACATATAAACAATAAGATGAATTTGTAAAAATCGCATTTTTATGGGTGAAACCAAAATAATAAGAGAAGACTCGTACCTTCAGAAAATCAATTTTTTATATCAACAGCAGATCACCTATCGAAACAAGTGCCGTTCTGACGCTTGCGTTAAATTCTTTCCGCAGAAACATATCGTTCTACCACGTGATGCAAATGGCCGCGGAACAAAACCCTAAGTTCAAGTTCGAAGCGAGCGAGTGGCCCAACGGTCACTACGTGCACACGCTCGCGACGCACAAGGAGGAGCCGATGGGCTACCACTACTGGCTGCTGTACCGCCTGCCCGAGACGCCCGACCCCGCCGCGCCGCCCGGCAACCAGCTCGTGGCGCCCGTCGGTCGGTACCGCACTAATTATGATTATTTAATGAAACAACTTAAACGTAAAACAATATTTGAAGTCAGGGATTTGGGGGTAATACACGATATAAGCTCTGTTATGCTGCTCACGTAGATCATATAGCCAAGAATGCATATAAAATGTTACTTTTCTCATACTGCTCATATGTCCGCAGTGTACTGGAGTTTAGTTCAGAATCCGCAATTCGATGTCTTCATAAATAGACTTGACAGCTCAAATTCATTAAATTCCTATAGTACAAATGGATAGTATTAGACGTCAACTATGAGACAAGATGTTAAAGACACCTCATATTGCCATTACAAATAAGAAGAACAATTTCAGACATAATAAAATTGCCCAATCAGAATTGGATTCCCCGTACCCTTTTTCTAAACTATAATTACGAGTTCCCAATAGGTCAATAAGACTTCAAACAAAGAGTTTTTTCTGCAAATTATAGTCAAAACTCGTATTGTATTAGATCGGCAAAAGCTCTTATAATCAGCTGACTTACTTTTCTGTTCATATCCAACTACATTCAAAAAAGCTGTATTCGACTTTTGGCTAGAGTCGCTTCCCTAAGTAATTAATTAATTAAGAAGTAAATGATTGTATCTTTCTTTATAATGATATAGTTTTTTCACCTCACAAACCGTTACGAAATAACAAAATTCATAAGTGTAAGCATGTGATCGGGAACAATTATCGTTACAGTATAATAACTGTTTGTTTTCCCAATAAATTAAAATAAGAAATGAAATATTTAGAATATCTTCTTTTAGGCAAATACGAGTCCATAAATAAATAGTGTTTAACTGTCTTTTCAGGTGTGGACGACTTACTAGTAGAAGACGGAGAACACTACCTGTTCTGGTACAAGAAGCTGTAATTGCATACATTTGCCTCTTCGAACACGACTCAACTTTTATACGTAGACTTTAATCTTTATACATTTATTTCTTCTTAGTTTCAATCAACTATCAAGTCATAGTATATCGAATAGTGCATTTAAATATTTCATAGAATATTCTATCTTGTAAGCGACTCGTTTTTAAAAATAGCAACTAACATAGCACAATGAATATTGTAGTTGAAATTAATAAATCTTGTCGATATTATTATATATAAGAAGTTTAAAAAGAAGGAATACCCGGCTTATGCCTCATGCATTGATTTTGTTTTTATTTAATATAAAACGAAAGGATACATCAAACTAATAATCATTCGAGATTCTAAAGGATCTTTAATATCAAAATAAAAAAGTTGTCTTCTTATCCCACTGTTGGTTTCAATGAATTGCATAGCACCGCGCCTCTGTTAAAGCGTCAAACTCTGCAATAGAATCAATAATAATGCTGAGCAACAATAAAAGAAAATAAATTTTCAATATTCTTAAAAAGAAATTTTCAATATTCTTTCAGCTACATAATACGCGGGTGATGTAATTTACATATAATTAATGCAAGCGAAGTCGCGGGAAAACAGCTAGTAAAATAAACATGTTTATTGCATATTATTGTTATGATACATATCGAGTTATCAAATTTAAAAACATTTTTCACGGTAATATTCAATCTCTAATAGTTTCACTAATCCCATAGGCTTAAAATAGTTAAAGTTACATTATTTTCTACTTAGCGTAAGTTTGAAAGAGCTGTTAGATGCTATTGCTTGGTAATGCTATGGAAGGTTAATTCTTTTAGCTGATAATGATACGATATTTAAACTCGCCGTACTCTCTACGCCAGCTCACCGCACCAGTGCAACTTCTGCGTCCAATTCCTGTGTTGACATAGTATTCAGCGTGTGTACTCTTAAAAAAATTCCATTAATTATATTTATATAAAGATCTGACCCCTGAGGCTGCTAATCAGAATGAACCAAGCATCGCAAGGCACGATCTTAAACGTACGAGCTTGGTTTACGCTTACTTAATATCTCTTCATTTTCTATTTAATCGTTAAAGGTATCTTGACCTTCCGTCACCTAGGCACGATCTTAAACGTACGAGCTTGATATACGCTAACTTAATATCTCTTCATTTTCTCTTTGATCGTGAAAGGTATCTTGACGTCGTAACACCTGAGTAGGTAGGAATATACATATACATATTTCTATGTCGTGCGTATTGTGTTCTCTCGCGACCAAAATCTACTTTTAAAGTATTTTACTATGATATGTATTATAGTAAGTACATATATTAGTGGCAGGTTCTAATAAAGTTTATTTTTCTTTCCTGTTTGTGCAATTCAGTAAAATGTCACCATTATCTCTGAAGGGTAATAATCCTTTTATTTCACTATAAATCTTTTTTAAGCTTTGTACAAAAATGACAGCCAAAAATGACGCAGGGGTGGGGAAAAAGGCATGTACTGCATTCATGCTAGAGACTCATAAGCTTTTAATCTGATATAATGGTAAAGTTTACTTATTAATATGAAATTAATGTAATATTGCATATTGTCAATAGTTTTTAAATCTAATTAATTATCTTAGGTGAGACTGACAATTCGATGTTATGGTAGATCGAGAATATGAGTGTATACCTAACATTTTTCATCGTAAATTTGTTTTTCATTGTGACATTCACCTACTGAATGGTTTAATAAAAAATAAAATAAAAATATTGTGTTATTATTTGTATATTATGCTACCAAAAATAAAACGCTTAGATGTAAAGCCCGCCTAACAGTTAAATATTAATTTTAAGTAATTATACACAAACGTAATTAATAAATGTTACGTTTATTTCCAATGTACACTTAATTTATCATTACTTTTTTATTTAACCTAACACTGTTTTCACTAGATATTTTTAAGCATCATCAAAGCTTTGAGAATTTTATCAGTTTATTCCATTCCAGTTCCAGAGAAACTGTCGTGTTCTGGTTGCTCACTTCAGACGTCATACCTTTGGAATTGTATTACTATCACTAGGTACGTAGTAACAGCTCCAAGTATCTGAAATAAAAGAAGATTACAGTTTTATCGAATCAATTAATTTTCTAAACAACTTTCTTTGTAAACATTAGCAAAATGTCCGATTCGTACTAGCCTTTTTCAAATGACACGTTTATTAACATATACTAAATTATTATCAAGGAACTCGATGACTTATTGGTCTGTTTCGCAGCAGAGTGGGGACATTAATAGCCTCATGCGTATATCTTTTCGGACCGCTTCATCCATTACTTGTATAATCTCCTCGGTCGTCTGGTAGAGAATGCCAAAAATTTTGTCCGCCATTTCAAGAATTCTGTGTTCAATAAAGTTTACAAGAAATAAAAACAATCCGTAACCAACAAACGGCATGGATTAAGATTTGTGAATATTAATCCTAGAGTTTAAAGCGTTTTTCTGAAGTGCAACAGATATCGGGATAGTACATTTTCGGCCCCTCATTCGTTAACTAGACTTTGCCGCTACTCAACTTCTGCCATCGACCACTGAACACGGTCAGAGCATAGTTACTACGCGCATTCGAGCTCTAAAATGACTTAGCGACTATTCGCGGAGTATGAAACATACCGAGGCCACCAGTGGTCGGTCGAGCACGCACATGCCCATGGGCGCGTACCCCGCGGAGCGCAGCACCAGCTGGCGGGAGAACAGCTCCAGGTGCGCGGGCAGCGCGCCCGACCCCGACGCGTACGTCATCAGCCGGCACACCAGGCTCTCGGTGCGCATGCCCTGGTACAAGCGACGATGTCAGGAAGCGAGAAAACGTTTTATCTAAAAGTACTTTAGATAGGTTTATCGGTATTGAGATATTTTGACTTTTACTTTTCCGACTTTTACCTCGACGATAGTGTAGTGCGAAGGCTCCACCACGACGAACATTCTAAGCATGTGAGTTACACACCACAAGAACTGAAGCACCAGGAAGTGTATCCTGTGTGTGTATGATACAACTGTAAAAAAAAATATTGATAAAATCAGTGGTAACTATTTAGAGCAAGCAGCGATATGGTCTCGAGGGCTTGTGTAGAAAGGGTGAATTCACAACCAATTAAGACTCAATTTCAAGTTCAATACTGTAAACTTTTTGTTTATTTGTTTTTTCTTTCTTTCTTACCACCAAGTAATGTTTAAGAAACTATTCAGAAGTAGATCTAGACATCCACCTTAGAAACGACAAAGCATTTATTGCAAACTTCTCTTAGTTATTACAAAATCGTTCCTTATATACTTAAGGATTCTTTCCGAAATCCTTAATATATATACAGAGCCGAATAGGGGATTCCAGAGGCAATACCTAATTTATATTTTGGTACAAATAACAATTGACTTTTGAGAGAAGATTTTTGGAAAAGTTTCTCTTACTTATTTCCATGATGAGAAAATAGGGAGTCACGATGAGATGCAGGAGTGTGGAGATGAGAATGACTATGAGCGGTACTCCGTAGCTGGCGTCGATGCGGTGGATCACCTCGCACAGTGTCCCGTGCAACGCCGCCAGCGCGGGAACAGCTTCACACGGAGGCACTACCAGCCGTGGTTCACCATTTACTGTATATACAAAACAACATCATCGTCTGCCTATTAATATCCTCACTCAAATAGATGTTCAAGGCATGGTTGGTTCACTACATGGTTTATTAGATTAATCTATATAATTCTTATTAAGTTCTGTCAATAATATCATGTCATTATATGAAAAAAAGACACTATCCACTTCTATGTTATTTTATTAAAACATAGTTTTACATGTATTTAAAAAGTATATAGGTATAATATGAATATTATGATCAATTCTTACCATTCTTACGAATTACAATAGTGCGTGGTTTCTTAGGTAATGTTTCCACTAATAAGCTAACGTCTTCTACTTGTGGTGTATCAGTTGGTGTTACTCGTATAGCAAATATATTCAGGGGCGTCGGTCTCCTCGACATCTCGACTGAAAATATAAATAATAACGTAATATTATTTGTTTTTAAACAGGTTTCCGTAACTAAACTATGTATTTATAAGTAATAGTGACTTACATTATATTGAAATTGAAAGTCAGAATAACATATTGTTGCGACCTATTTGACAACAACATTACAATTAATATCAGACGGGGTCCTGATTGGCTTAACTGTCTTTGTTATTGTTATTATTATTTCTTTTTTTTATTTCATGTTAGGCAATGGGTTTCGTGTGGACTAAAAGAGGGAGAAAAGGTCATGCTTCTTTTAAGAGCTAATAAGTTAGTTGCGCTTCCTATTAGCCAGAAGATATCAATAGCACGAAAAAAACGTTGTACTTCGAAATTACTGAAAGTAATTTCGAAGTACAACGTTTTAATAAGCTTGAATGAATGAATGAATACTTTTATTGTACACCATAATTAAGGATAATCGATACAATTTAGTGGTACAATCGGCTTGTTTCAATAAAGAATGCAAAGATTTTTGTAAAGGTTGTAATCGGTTTCGTTTTTGTTTTAATATTTGAATATTTAAGATTTTAATCTTTTACTGTGATCTTAGCTCTCTTTTATTGTAGCATAACGTTGCCCACAGTTGTTATTGGAGTGAAAATTTACTTATTCTCAAATATAAATTAGATATAATTCTAAAACAATGATTTGTATTTTACAATTTTGCCATTAAATAAATAAATTACATTTGAAAAACTCACAGGGTATAGTAACATTCCGGGCCGTGATAGCGAGTGTGTCGTTGAGAGCTCTGAAGCGGGCATATATTGATAATGCTGTAAACGCAAACTGGAGCTCCAGGATCATCACCACATACCACAGCAAATAGAATCCGAGATAGTTCACCACAACCTCCCCTGATGATGACAGATAAAAATACTATTATTAAAGAAAATATAGCATAAAGATATTCATCAAATCATTGAATCGAAATCTTGCAGATTGCCTATTAATTAAGACTTTTTCGTTTGCAACAAACTCTTAATAATTGACAGTCTTTTAAATGTAAATAAACTTTGCTTACATTGCCTATCGATCTTCTTTGCCTGAAGAACGTAAAAGCAGAAATCGTCAACGATGAGCAGCGTAAAAAATATGAGAATGGCAGCCAAAATGGCACAGAGCTTGCGTTCTGTAACCACCGAGTATTTCCCTCCAATGCTGTTGTCTATCTGAAATATCAAATCACCTAGTTCGATGTATTGTTTACCAAGTAAAACAGAATTGAATATTTTTAATAATCTTGGAGCTATCGTTGAAGCTCCAGTAAATTAACGTCTATTCCATGAATAGTCTTAACCAATACCTTGCCAATGTTAGTTTAGGGGTTTATTAAAAGTCTTTCGTTTCCAACCATTAAGAGCCTCAATTGAATATTCCATATTATTTACATATCGTAAGTTGTCGTCGTATTCGTACTTACATATCGTAAGTAATATGGAATATTTAGATATTCCAAAAAACGTAAAACATCTAAACACATTCTGTCATCAATCAAAAAACTTACCGATGACACTTTATCCATAAACTTGAGCATGCTCCTCATCCTGGCAGGCGCGCCGTACACTCCCACAGCCGCAGACATCACTACCACGAGCACGTCGCACGTGGACACCACTTGGGACATTCTCGATGACATCCTCACAGATCTCTCCACGCCTACGTTAATCTCAGACACTAAACCACAGACTGTTAATATCACTGAAATAGAATTCAATTTATTGTTGTTAGGGAGAACGGTCCATAAGCCCCCGCGCAGGTCCAATGCGGATTAAAGGGTGTTAACAATTGCAAATGCAATCAATAATGATTGCCATTTGTAATTTTATTTTAGTTTAACAAATTTTATTTGCCACACAATATTAGTAAATGGCCACTTACTTAGAACACTGACCAATATAAAGCTATAGATGCGCATCCCGTTCGATATCGTCACGGAGAACCCATGCTCTTTTGATTCGAAACGAAGTGGCGCCAGGCCGACGAAGCTCGATACCTTAGTAAAAGTTAAACGTTAAATTATAATAAAAAATTAAAAAACACAATTACAAAAATCTAAATAAAAAATAAAAGATCTAGTAATGTTATGGTTTGGCTAAACAAAACTCTTATTCCAGTTGTACTTAGATTACTAATTTTCCCCAGAATGATCCCAATATAACGTATCTTATAAATTAATGTGATAGATGTACGCATTGATGTCAAATTTCTTTACAGACTAATGGGTTGTATTAAAAAAAACATATTTATCTGGGATAGCTCTAAGAGTATTGTTATTTCAGATTTTCTTTTAAAACTACCTAATTATTTGAAGAAGAATAACGTTAATAATGAAACGAAATTACCTTTTCTTATAGAGAAAATTTACAAATAGGTATATGATTCACTAAGAGAATAATATGGAGTAATTTACAACAATCGTTATAATATATGACTAATTAATTTAAAACCATTTTTATCGCAATGTGATGTACATGGAGGGCAGTCTTTCGGCTTTACATACGTTCTTAATATGTAGGGAATTTCTTACTCCCACTACACAACTAAAAGGTCTGAATAGTTAGTAGGCATAAAAGATGAGCTATTAAAAAGAGTATTTATTCCATTAAAAAAAAGACGGTAAATTTTGACTCTCAGCTTGACTTCTTCGCGTATCAGTTTACCTTTAAAATGAAGGCATGAGCTCCACCCACAACACATTGTGTCACTTTGTGTGCTTGGTTTGGGAGCGCCGGAGCCATCGGTGGCTTTGCATTTCTTTCTGATTCTTGCACACCTGAACAGATAAAATTCAAATTCCTTCTCATTATCCTGTTGATATAATAATGCTTAATGTAATATCGTTTACTCTTATTGGATATAGAATTATATGATTTTATATTAATATTTTCCCCTTCTTTTTAAAATTGATGCTTTTATATATTGCATCCTATTAGGAACTTTTAATATTAATCAAAACTAACATTATAATATTTTTTTCATTCTAGATAGGCAAGCACTTGACCACAGATCACCTGATGGTAAGCAATTGCAGCGGTCTAAGATGGAGCGTGCTTGCCTAGAAGGAACCGATTCACTCTTGACTTGAAGAGTCCCAGATTGTATTTTACACGGAAACAGCGAGTCCGGTAGCGAATTCCACAGCTTCGCAGTTCGCACGATGAATGTAGAGGCGAATCGCTTGGTGCGAGTTTGTGGAATCTCCACAGTAAAGCGGTGACGCTTCCCAGTACCCCTGGTTGTACGATAATAAAAAGGGGATGACGGAATTAAGTCGTGTAATTCCGATGCACACTCGCCGAAATGTAACCGATAGAAGACCGATAGACCAGTAATAAATTAAATCATCTAACTTTGTTTGTTTATCCCATACATCATAAACGTGTGAAATATTCTACAATTCACGAAGTTAAAGTTACAGGAAAACAGCTAGTAATGATAATAAATAAACTCATTACAAATTTTATAGAGTAGCTAAAATGTTGACCGGTAGACCTATTTCCACTTTTCCATACTCAACTTCCAATATCATTAAAGCTTGGTTTCGAAACATAATGTCCTTTGATTTTTTTTTGTGTCCTTAATTGAGTAGTAATGTTGATCGATAAAAAATAATATAATATAGTTTCCCTTAGTAGCTTGAAATTGATAACACGTAGTGTGTTAAAAGAAAACTTTGTTTGATAACACATTAAGAGCTATTTACATTACACTACACTGTGCCATACCGTGACCATGCTATGACCAAACGAAACGGTCTAAATCTTTTAAACCGGATGAAACGTGAGCTATGTACGTAACTCGGATATTAGGAAAAATATTATACCCACTAGAACGATTCGTTACTAACTTAGGATCGTGCCACGCATCTGCATAAACAGAATGATTGTCTATGGAAGTTTTCACAGAAAGAGCATTGCCATTTCCATTTATTGAATCAAATTGAGGGTGCAAAAATGCAAATACTTTACCTCCCATTCTAATATTTAAATTAGCGCATTTGGTATGCTACACGAAGTCAAGCAGCTGTCTCAAAGGCTGGTCATAGGATGGGATTCGAAAGGCACTTTTACAATAGGGACATCTTAAATTGGTTTAAGTGTTTTAAGATATGTTTTTTAATGAAATTGTAATATGGTTATGTTACAACATAATATTCTGTACTATCAAGTGGGCTGATAACATGGAGTGCTTATAGTTTTACTATCGAACGATACCACCAGCAAATAGGAACATTTATTAACAAACTGTTTATGTTATTGAACCATCATGACATGACACTATCAGTTTATTACGTAAAACGGAAACTAACATATTATTTATCATATTGTGGATGTTAAATTCATATGAAATATTATATTAATCTGGGAATGCACTTACGGACTTTGTTATGTGGCTACTATAGGTACTAATAATGTTATATGAGGGGGTTATTGAAATGGGGCTAGTAATCTGTAACCGAGGAACAACATTTACATTTATGAGTGTAAGAGGAGGAAGAGTGGAAGGATCATTAGTCGACCTCACCTAAGCTACATACCTCAGCACTAGCTCAGCATGTGCAGAGATTTCGAGTTGAGGATGTAGTCGAATATGGTCATCCATATTCGACTACTCGCACACATACATATACATAAACAAAAACGCGCGCACGGCTGCATGGGCTATTGAAAAAAAATACTACATAACCACATATAATATATATTGCTCAGACTTCAAGATGAATATGTATGTTATACTGTACAACATATTATATTATAAGGTTATATAATGTATAACCTTCTTACTAGGCTGTATCTAAGTCGACTTATTGGTATGATAAAGTATTATAATTCGCTAAATTATCCAAAATAATACCTATTAATCTTAATCAATCAAAAATTAATTTTACAAAATGTAATCGTTGAGAAGGCCTGAGACTTAAATCAATAAGTTAATTGATTTTGAACAATGAGATTAAGTTCAATAAATCTGTAATAAAAATGCGAAAACCACATCATATTAAGAGTAGTTATTGGGTCAAATTAAAATCTTTTACTTTTAAAAAAATTGATAATATGTGAATCACGTTGTGGTTATATTATAAAATGAAATAACTGTAATGATTTGTGAGGAAAATTCATTCAACATCTCCTGTCCCTATCTATTCGTAGTTGTATGGTTTAACAGCGTCGAATTCATAGTCGAAAGTAGCACTCTCACAGCAAAGAGATTCAACTAAATCAAACCTCCTACAAAAGGTAATATGTAAATATTGTATTTCATTGAAGCACTAAGACGTGTCAGCGTCGCGACCAACGTTGATTTTGAGACTGTTTTTAACATAATAGCAAAGCTTTTGATTTCTATTTGTCTTTATTTAGAGCTTTACATACATAATGTTCAAAACAACATTAAACTACACTTACACAGAAAGATCCTCTTGTTATACGATTTTAAAAGAGCCTCATAATTTGGTGAAGATATCTTATTATTCAACATTTTTATTTCGTTTGTTATATTAAAATTCATGGTGGAAATATTAAAGAAACACCTTCTACCGACCGTCTAGCTTGGGTTAGACACAACGTTCTGATTTCACTGATACAGGAAGTGATCAATAGAGCCGTCAACATAATGAGTAGGTACAAGGAAATTACTGTTTTGAAACTAATGGACACTGAATGAAAAAGTCTTAAAACAATAATTTATCAATATAAATATATCAAATATTAATGCAGTAAACAAGTTCACGCAATAATCTCATGCCAATGGCATTTTAATTACTCGCACTTTACAATTGTCCTACATGAGGTCCAATATTATTAGTGCAATATTCTTCAGAAATCAATGGTGAAAGATCTTGTCATCTCGTAACAAGAATTTTTCGAATAAGATTTATTGAAGTGCCATGGACTCGACCATTTACGCTAACATAAGCAGAATTAGGGTTTAAGCGTTAGGGTGCGTAAAAAATGATCTTAATTCACTATTGCTGAGGTCCCGGGTACGTTTCTGATCGGGTCAATGACGAAACTGATTTTTAGTGTTATGATACCTATGTCGTGTAGATACTCCATTATACGAGTGCTTTAGCTACTCATCTTACAACTTGAGAATCTGAGAAATGTAAAATAAAGTCAGTTTCAAAAATTGTTTGGCTCTATGATATCCTACAATAACAAAAAATAACTACATCAACTTTACTTCATAATTTAAATTTAAATATTACAAACTAAAAGTTCGCTACTCGCTATTTGTTTATGTAATTATAGCTCAAGTACCTATGCGTTCTTCATTTGCGCGGTGTCAGCCCTGCGATTCTGTAAAAATCCAGACCCGAATTCGAATTCACTCATGTGTCCGAATTCACGTCATTTAATGTAAAAATTGTATAAAAATACAAAACAAAATTGAATGAATAGACGTGTCTCAGATATTCTATTCCTATATCATTTCGAAACTCACTGCACTTATGCTACGAAACGTTATTACCAATTCAAGGTTGAGCGGATGCCTCTTTTTGAAGTCAATTCGGACACCTGAGAGAATTCGAATTTGGGTTTGGAGTTTTACAGAATCGCAGGGCTGAACCCTTAAAACCTGTGGAGATATTACAATTTTCTATGAATCATTGGATGCAAACTGAAAAATTCTATCCAATAATGCATTTTCAATTTACACAGTTGTTATAAAAGCAGCTTAATTTGATTCGGCCCAAATTAAACACCTGTTTTATGTGGCCGTATAATGTATGTATGTCGTGTGAAATATTTTGTTCTTACTTTCCATGACGCAAAAATATAAAAATTCCCATCAACGTTTTGTAAAATAATTACTTTCAATGTTGACCGAGGTAAGCGTTTCATTTAAGTGATAGTTTGTTTACCTATGTTTATTATACTTAATGTGGTCTCACAATGTTAGGTCTTCAATCAATCAATCTATAAAATGAGTGATCGATCACTTAACGATAAGCCCAAATCGAGTAATTGACTATAAGATTAAATATACATCCAACAACACGTTAGCACATAAAATGAAAAATGTTGACCAACTATTTTAAATTTTAATGATTCGGAATATATAAATTCTAAATAGATTGTGGATATTTTTTTAATAAAACATGTATGTTAACTAAGAGAGTCAGCTATCAAAATTCACCTTTTTCCATTTTCTCTCTTAATTATCATCATTCACCTTTTTCCATTTTCTCTCTTAATTATCATCATTCACAGTGTGGACGTTAATAGGCTGGATGTGAATCTAATCAAGTACCACCACGCGGGCCCAGAACATATTGGTGGGCGCTAACGACTGCAGATATACCTGGATATCAACAGCTTAACATGCTTTCCGAAATACGGAGGAGCGAAAGATAACATTTTTTTTATAGCCGGAGAGCTTTACAATGCACTTTTACAATAATCGTAATAATACGCGAGTATGTTTGCCAAATGGCCGGGAAATCCGGGACTATTCCGGATTTTTGCATGTTGTACTGTATCCAGTAATTTTACTTTATGGTCCCGGAATTCACGAAATTATGATCATAAGTAAGTATTTGGGATTTTGAGAGAAATCATTTTAAACCTTATAATGGTACTTTAAAAATTGTATTAATTTTTAAAAATTCTATTAATTTTTAAAGTACCTTGTTGTGTGATAGAACTGTTTATAGTATGGATAGTTCCAGCCACCAGCCGAATAAATGGTTTATATAGCTGTTAGAGGATCTTGGAGAGTCGAGCTATTGCTCGCAGGTATTTCAGGAATGCTAGATCTGATGATGTTCACGACTCTTACCAACTGCGTGTTGGCCGTTGTTCGTCGGCTGTATCATTTGAACGTGATCTTTCAGTGTCTTTTTATCAAATAAATGGTATTTTTGTTCAGTATTCGTACCGTATTCACAACCTAAAGGCCCTCATGTAGAATACACCATTTTATATAACTGCCTTTGAAAGTCTTTAGAACAGGTTTCCTGTCAAAAAAGATTAGGGTTTCGGTTCCTGTTCCCTTCCTTGTAGTAATCGCTCTCGCCGCCAAGATAACCGACATGCATTATGGAAAGACTGTGTTACAATAGGCTGAACGGCAAAAGGAGAGACATCTATGTTGAAGTTTTATAAGAAGACGCCAGGACGTGACGGACCTATGAGTTTAGGAAATCAGTGAAAACCGTGACTGCATTGTATGTTACCTTTGGATCATCGTTGTCCATAAGACGTATCTTATATTCCTTGTCAAAGACGAGAGGCGGGTTCCATTCATGCGATAATGCGCAGACTTAAAGTAAATTAAAATAACTGCTAGAATAATTAATGAGAAGTTTTGAGTACGCGCTGACGCCAAACATGTTTGTTTACTGACCAAACTATATATTGTAAGGGTCCGAGTATAACGTGCTCAATAATTTATTTGAGTCAATCAGAACTGATGTTTATATTGAATAATAGGTAGAGCCAACACGCTCGTGCGTCAATATTAATTTACTTATTGTACGTACATCATCATGACATTATTTACTAGGTTTACTAGTTAAAGCAATGTCATTTTGTATAAATTCCGACTTTATTATTTACGAGTACTATACTTATTTACTTGTAGATTTATCTATGTATTCTTCTTTCCATCCTTACTTATTTTATTTAGCCAAGAGTTGAGTGAAAAAACTTTCTGCTTGCTATCTCTGATGTCATGTGTACAGATCAGATTGTACATGTAATACAACTCATCGGAGGAAATGCACCCCTCACGAAATTTCTTAGCAGCTCCCTTTAGCACAGAGTCGTTGATTTACAAATCAATGGTATTCCTTCTCGATTTTTACTAATGTTTGTAACAGATTTAATTAAAATAATGTTTTAAATTAGGTATTAATTAAAAATTTTATTATACCTGAACTTTTTATTCATATAACATGGCGAAGCGTAAGACATGATGTATAATAATTTAATTAAAATGAAAACTGCCGCAATATACCTCGTATATATTTTAGTGTCCATTAAACAATCGGGTGATCTATTTATACATATGACTGTAACACGCGATATCGTTTTTCTTCAATCCGCTGAACATTACCACGATATCGTCATTTGAGGTAATGTGACGTCACAGTATCATTATATTTGACTGCCGGTAGAGGGCGCAAATATTTTTTTTAATTTCAATCAAAAATATAAATTACCTATAAAGTCTTATAAACATAAAAATATTAACGTATCGATTAGAAATTGTTGCCGACAAAGGAGACTTAGACCTTTTTTTTTTACTTTTTACTGTATTTATTATAAAACAAATTGCAATGCAATTTAGTAAAAGCTATTTTAATGTAATTGCGAATAGCAGTAACAATGTATGTAATGCTTACATTCGAATTATATATTATACAACGGAATTATGAAAATCCTTAATAGTCAATTAGCACGAGGGTGCGAAACAACAATGTTTTTTCGAGTTATTGCAGAAAAATGTAATCGCAAATTATTTTGTGCTATCGATATGATTATATATTAAAATAAACCATTTAACTTAGCAACAACGATTAATTAAATCAATCTTTAATAGCTTTAACAAAGCTGTTAAATAAAGATATTACAGATATATAGTTAGATACAATAAGATTATATTCAAATGGCAAAAATACCAAAAATTTAGTTGTGTTTTGCGACTCTCTGTCCACCTAGTAAGGGATACAGTCTGTCGAAAAAGGTAGAGATGTGAACTAATTGATTATAGTAAATATTTTTAGCTCCGATTCAATAGAAAAAGACATTATCGGTGTTCGATACATAATGTCGACACAACACACAATGTCGGCACAACTTAGTACTTCAGGGCATAAATATAGGTCCATTAGTAGTTACTATGTTCAGACTAATCTACCAATTTTCTACAATAAAGTTTACTGCATAAAATTGATAATGATTTATTACTACACCATTTTGCTTTCTAAGAGCTATCAGAAACTCAACAGGACCCGAGGGTGATGATTTTTTAAGCATTTTCCATTCAAAATATGCCTTTAATTGATTTTCATGAATATTAATTCATTTATCTTTTGAAAGTCTTCGTGTAAGTAAAGTATGCGTACCTAGTTACTTCTGAATTTATAATGCCTGTACCGCTATGTTATTCTGTAATAATATCAGCCTCAAATTCAACGTCGAGCACAGCGCTGTCACATCATAGACATTCAATGAAATAAAATCTTTATTACTCCATCCCATCCTATACCGGACCATTACGAAAGTTGCTTCACCTTCGCTTTGTAAACCAATAATTTGTGATGAAGGTGTAAATGTATTATTTGTAAAGTTACTAAAATCACTTTCATATTTTTTTTAAATATAACTGACTCCAAAGGAGCAAAATAAAAGAAATTCAAGAAACTTCTATTGATTTGATTGAAGAATTATAATCAAAACGCTTGCGTGGCTTTTTTATATAATCAAGTTAATCATGCTTTTTTTTAAATCAGTTTTTTATTTCTATTTGATTTTTTTAAGGTCGATTAAATTTAAGTTACTATTAAACCGATTTTGATGTAACTTGTACTATTATCTAAGTTGAAAGATAATAATCAAATAAAAAAAGGAATCATTGGAATCCGGTCTCTGATTTTCATAAAATACGTTCGTAGAATGCAAGTACGAAAGACGTGATAAGTGAGAACGGAAGAGAAAAAATAAATATAAAAATGGCCTTCCACGGGGATAGGCAAAAATTGAAATCCAAAAATACTAACTGAGAGATTAAACGTTTCTGTGGAATTTTCTTTTTATTTTTAAAGATACAAAGCTATTAAGATAAAAAAGCTTGCACGTGTTTACGATAGGTACACGATGAACTTCAGGGTGGTTTAGTTAAAGAGTTAGCTAAATTTCTATCTTATAGAATAAAAGGAACAGCGATATTAGTAGACATACATACCCATGTGTTAATACATAAACGTAGGCTACGAAGATTCCATATCTAGTCACTATGTTCACTTAAACAAAACATTATTTTCCTGTAGTTAACAAAACGATGTACCAAGCTAGCAGAAGTCACGTGGAGGCCTGAAGCGTTCGCGACACATACTAACGCCACAGTTCATGAATCTCCAATACAGTGTACTGTACAGCAATAACAATCCTCTGCAGCTTCATGGACGATTTAAGGGTAATTTTTTAAAACGCTAAGCGTGTTGTGATACTTTAAAAAAAATAATATATTACGACATGCAGTAATTCCTCTTCGATGTGAATAACCTGTCATATACGAATTATTGTATAGCCAACCTTAGCAAAAACCCATCGCTAATCTATACTTATATTAAAAAAATATTTATATTTCATTATTAAAGTATATCATACAATTCAACATCGCACACATTGCTTAGATTCCAAGATGAGTAGCTACAACCCCCGTATTATGATGGTGTATTGGAGACAACGAATGTATCACTACACCCAAACTCGAGACTATATGGAAAAGTTGACTCGGGATCTGAGAGATAGCGAAACCTTGGAACCTTGAAACCGGCGTGAGAACCACTCGGCTACGAAGGTAAAGTTACTTTGTTTGTGTGTTTTCTTGCGCCTACGGAAAGCTACATCATACGCAGGTAACATAGGTTATAAAACAGCTAGTATTGATACACTAATAAGTACATTGATATCTGATTTTTAAAACGTGTAATACAGTGTACTTGAATTAAGATTATGAAATTCATATTATAAATTATACTCTGCTCTTTTTAATGAACTTAGAACAATTAAATAAAACGACTATTTGAGGCCAATCCATAAATGTGTTAGATTTTTCCATCCATAAATTTAAAGGAAAATATTACAGACAAAACTTTTTTCTCACTACATACTTCTTGAGTAAATCAACAATCCCAAAAAGCGCAAGCACCACTATCGGACTATTAGGAATACCATAAGACATTACAATTATTATATCATAATATCGGCTCCTTATGCTTGGCAAACAGACGGAATTAGAGCAATCGCACGAATTCCCGAGGGTCGTGGGTTCGAGTCCCATTTCAGAGTGCCAGGGACAGAGTGGATTTTTTGAGCATTTTTCATTAAATTATGAATGAATACTTCAATTTAAGATATTATAATTGCAATATAACAATCAAATTAAATGTATAGAATTAGAATTAGAAATTATTACCTTTATACGTTTTGTTTTATGAGTCATTGCAATAAAGTAATAATAGTTTTATGTTGGTTTCTGATAAAGTAATTAAAATTTATATTAAATTAAACTCTATTTTTATTCTTAATGAAAATTTGTATTTGTATTTTTTAAATATTGATAATATGATGATGTAATTGATTATAATATGAATGTAATTGTATTTGAACGAATTATCGTATTTCCATTATAATTATGATTTCAAACTTTAACATGTTAAGCAACTTTCCCATTTTGTAAATCAGATATGTATCACAATCTATCTTATGAAGTTGCCGTTGCTAAAAATGTTAACAAGCAGAATGAGATTGGCCATGTCAGATAGTTTTATAAAAAATATATTATATCTGAATATGGTTAGCTATATAAATCTTATACAAATGAATCGCATGACGCACCTCCATTCATATGCACATATAATATAAATCGAGGATAGATAAGTGCCTTACCATTTTAAATTATTAATCAGTAACGAAGCAACTGTCACACGCTACTGACTGAAAATGAGTTTCGCTGACAAAGTGGTGATAGTGACCGGGTCGAGTGCGGGCATCGGGGCCGCCGCGGCGGTGGCGTTCTGTAGCGCGGGCGCCCGCGTCGCGCTCGTGGGCCGCAACCAGAGCAACCTCGCCGCGGTGGCCGCCCGGTGCGCGCCCCACCCGCACCGCCCGCTCGTCCTCAACGCCGACGTCTCCGACGACGACGACGCCAAACGCATCGTACAAACCACGATCCAACACTTCGGCAAGATAGACGTGTTGGTCAACAACGCTGGCATCGTCAAATCCGGTTCGATAGTCGACGGAACAATAATGGATACGTTCGACGAACTAATGAGCATAAATTTTCGTGCAATAGTAAAACTCACGACCTTGGCTGCACCTCATCTGATAGCAACGAAAGGAAATATTGTTAACATATCAGGTATATCTGCAACGACGTTTAATTTACCCGTGTCGATACCCATTATTGGCGCATGCAAGGCCGCACTAAACTATTTCACCAAATACGCCGCGTTAGAACTGGCGGCTTCCGGAGTCAGAGTCAACGCAGTAACTCCGGGCCCCGTTAGAACGGAAATTATAAAAGCATCCGAGTATCCAGGGTACTGGGATATGTTCACTACACGGACGGCGCTTGGCCGTGTGTCAGAACCGGAGGAGGTGGTTGACCTCGTTCTGTTCTTAGCGAGTGAAAAGGCAAAAGGTATCACTGGGTCAAATTATGTCATTGATAACGGAATTCTATTGAAGTAACTGTTCATAAGAAATTGTTGCTTGAGAAAACAAAATGTATTATAGGAGATATAATAAAATGTTATTATTTATTTGTTTCTATTTTTATTGTTGTAATGGAACGTAAACTTAAACATGATAGCTACTATAAAGAAAAAGTAATTGTTGTCCAGTGTAACTGAGCGTGCTGTTGCTACTTGTACATAACTGAGATAACACTAATTTGCATGAAATTTTATAATTATTATAACAAGTAATTTCTTGTTAGATTTATATATATATAAATCAGTATTTCCTATACTACTACATTTTACCAAAAAAAACTCTTAGTAATTCTCTTTGTCTACGCTTGTGAAACATATATTTAGTCAGTCCATGATATTTCTGTCCGTTGATAGCGGGAAAGTTACATTTCATATCTTTGGGTATTATTATGTAGATAATTTTATAAGTAAGATAAATAGTACAACAATTATATAGCCAGATTGTTAAGTAAATTAAAGTCTGAATTGCGATAATGATTGAATTTATCTATTTTTTATTCAAATTTAAAATTATATAACACAGTTTCTAATTTATGACTTCAGCCTATTAAAGTCCCTTCGGAATAAGAAAATTATTATTTAGTCACTCATACCACATAATACTTATCATACGGTGAATGATTCTGGACCTAAATCTTTAAGTTTTATATCGCAGACCAAATACTCTAGATACTGCGCTATCGAGCTCTTCTCTTTGTTTAAGTCAACTGTTGTTTCTTATCTCTTCATTATGTAAGCAGCAGAAATCCGCAAATTTTACGTAATATTTGCTACTACGTAATCTTGACTGTCTAAATTTTTTATTCTATTTTAATTGCAATTATTATGACAATAATACTTCCATTAGTAGACTCATCATGCAAGTCAAAGTCACAGTATCTATATTCAAATAAACTTATTTCCTTTTGTGTCATAGAATATCTGCCACCTGTCCAGGACGTCTTTTGACTGACAAGAAGAACAAGCGAATAAAAAAATAAGATCGAAAACTAAAACCGGACTACAACTAAATCACGCTTTAAAAAGTTTGAAACAAGAAATTTATTTTATGGTGATAGCTATATAATAGCAACGATGACCAAAGAACAGCGTAGTCGTATACCACAACAGTTTGTTTTGTTATGATCAGTTATATATTTGAAATGTACTTATAAAGCCCTATCATTTACCTAAACAAAAGGTTACTCGCACAATCTCTAAATTAAATATAAATAAACTCGAAGTCGACCTACGCAATATTGATTTTGTTCCAATTTACTTTTACGCTGATCCGCAGTTTTAAATGTCATGTGTAATAGAAAACATACAATAGGCAATACAATCAAATAATTTTTATTTAAAGTTAATAAAAAATTTAATGTAAAACCGTGGATCATTACTGGTCTTATTCGTTGCATAAAACATAGAGGTAAAATGCACATGAAAGCTTAACATTACGTTAACCAAACAATTTGGAGCTTCAACTATCGTACTAAAGCTGCAAAGAAAATAACAGTAAAAAGAATCTGAATGTATCTAAAAACGATAACATATACACAGAAAGCACACGAGTCGTCGTTGAGTTTGTTGCAAACGCATTCAGCATATCTTAAAGCTGTAAATAGTGCAAACAATTTCTTTGTAAATGTTGGCGAGTGTTTGGCTGAGAAATTATCAATACAGTCGGTTTCTCACATAAACGTTTCTCCTGTATATTTGTACTTTTTTAACATCCATTGCATTGCTCGATACTCACAAAAGTGAGTGGAGCAGATAATTATGAGCTTAAAAGACGACTGTGTGGTATGGTGGGATAACATTTCAACCAGAATTATTAATTGTTTCAGGTATATTTTGGTTCCTTTACTAACAAATATCTTTCAAAAATGCCTAAATAAGTAAAGATTATTTCCCCGAATGTTTAAAAAAGAAATCGTTGTCCCGATTTATAAATCTCGCAATAAAGATCAAGTTATAAAGTATGGGCCTTTTTCTATTTTACCTTTTCTGTTCAAAATATTAGAAATTGTCATAAACAAAAGGTTTAGAAATTAAATCCATTTTGTCTACGGCGCAGTTTGGTTTCAGACCTAAATTATCAACTAATGATGCCGTACATAATTTGACAGATTTAACACAAAACATTAATAAGAGAAACTGTCTTGATAGGGATCTTTCTTGACCTTGAGAAAGCTTTTGACACCGATTCTGTTGCGTGATTCTGTTGAGTGAACTTGAAAAGCTAGGAATAATATTCACAACTGGAATTATTTAAAAGTTATCTAGAAGACCGAACAAATTGTTTGAAGATTGGCGGCGTGATTAGTGCTGAACCGGAAAGTACTTCCTTTGGAGTTCCCCAGGGAAGTATTTAAGGACCAACTCTGTTTTTAGTTTACATTAATGACCTCTGTTATCTAAGATAGATCAGAGTATCGTTATAATGTATATATAGCGGATGGTACTGCCCTTGTTTTCTCGGCTGACACAGAGAAAGAAGTTTACCGACTAGCACAACGCCGATTTAATGTGGCTAATAAATGGCTTCGGAATCACTTATCACAATGTTTGTAAATAAAACTCATTATATTAAGTCTTCTATAAGCAATTTAAACCAAACTGTAAATAACTAATGATTTGTTTAATAGCAGAGTTCCACACGACGATAACCAGTGTGCAAGTCCAAAAATTTAAATGATCAGTACTATTAAATATCTACGTGTTATATTAGATGAAACACTTTCATTAAAGCTGTAAATAATAGAGTTCGTAAGATAATATTTGTTTTTAAAAATTTAAGACAGATGAAATGACAGAACAGAAATGTAAAGTCTGCAACTTTACAATAATTAGGTATATGTGAACTAGATATATGTGAATCAATGTTAATATTAAGTACGTGGGGAGGTGTCGATAAAACATGATTATTATCTACCGAGAGAGCACAGACAGAAATTCTCTAGGTTTCTACTTTCCTTTAGCCTTTTAATTTGCTCTGTAATTTGCACAGTTAAAGTTGTATCAATTTTGCAGTTATAGTTATAGAAAAGTAATACTCATAAGTTATAGTAATACTCATAATAAATATTATGAGTATTATACTAAAACAAAATACTGCTTTTCCTTAAAATTCTGAAATAACTAACAAAAGACGAAAGGATAAAGTTTTCACTTAAAAAAATAAAGTGAAATACGATGTAACAACAAAATTTTATACCTCCCAATGACCATTATTATTCAATAGATTAAAGCACATATTTACCTTTTAGATTTTAGAAATAGTAAGTTAAAAATTGAAGTAACTTCATAATCGTGTTATTATTGTTTGTTTGTTTTATTTTAAATATTTAATATATTATGTTTGCTGTTTTAGATAATGACTATCTAACTAAACTATGTAAGCTCGACTTGTCTGATACACAAGTCGACTTGTTTACATACATACAGACTAAATGTTTTCAAAAAAAATATCAAAAAACGTAGTTATGTAAAAAAATAAATAATATCTATATGACTTTTCAATTGATTGTTATACGTTCTTATATTTATTATTAAATATTAAAATCAAAATCTTCCTCCCAATCAGACAAAATCAACTTAAAACATTAGTTATTTCATTATTTAAGCATATGCAACATACAGCCATTATCACTGACAATATTTGAACCGGTGATACCGTTTGCTTTGTCACTAGCTAAATAAAGAATCAAATCGGCGATCTCCTCGGATTGGGATACTCTTCCGAGTGGAGTTTGTAATTTAGATACTAAATCTGGTGTAAATCCAGCGTTATCAAAAATATCGGTTACTACAGGTCCAGGGCTTATAGCGTTTACTCTGACCCCAGAAGCCGCAAGTTCCGCAGCTGTGCTCCGTGTGAAATGATCCAACCCGGCTTTAGAACAACAGTATGCAGAGAAAAATGAATCTACAACAATACTGCCGGCTATACTAGAGATATTAATGATGTTCCCCTTGGTTTTGACAAGATGCGGCGCGGCCAACATGGTGAGGTGAACGATGGCGCGCAGATTGATCTTCATAATTTTGTCGTATGTTTCAAGAATAGTTCCTTCGAGAATGCTACCAAAAGCAATGATTCCAGCGTTATTGACGAGCACGTCTAATTGACCAAATTTCGTTACGGTCTCGCTAATAATTCTCTTGGCGTCTTCATCGTTCGAGACGTCAGCTTTAATGATGATATGCTTCCCACCGACTAATGAACATTTCACGGAGACGTCCATTAATTTCTTCTCATTCCTAGCGACTAGAGCCACGCTGGCGCCTTCTTTACAGAACATGACAGCAACTGCAGCTCCGATGCCAGAACTGGCGCCCGTGACTATCACTACTTTACCAGAGAAACTCATTGCTACTGATGGCGGTCTATAACTGAGATTGAATGTAACGAAAACTTGCTTATAAATGATATAAATGTTACATAATGATCTCTAAAAACGCCATTACACTGACGTTGCATATTTCTTTTCATAATACATAATAGTACCATGCATTATTGTCGTCTTGGTCATCATTCAAGTAATATTTACTGTAATCAACATTTTGTTAGTAGATTAACTAATAACACCTATTCAGTTTTAAACGTATAACAATGCATCGTACCACCATTTATTTCCTCCTAGGTCCGCACGCAAACCTTTTATCTTTGATCTTCAACATCATTTATGTTTATTATTCACTTCACTTCATTCAATAATGTTAATAAACTACCTTTTGTATATACAAAATTATAAACTGACATGACTGCAAAATGTTGGTAAACAACATTTCATGGTACAGAAGATACAAACAGGATCTTAAGTTGTACAAAACTATCAGAGGTTTATTATGAGAGGTTTATTATAACCTAAATAATAATAATTTACTATCTTTACAAAACTGAGAAATTGCTCCACTTAATTTGAAACCTAAAAAATAGAGGTAGAGAAGAGTTAAAAATTAATTAAGTATATTTCACTTATGAATGTACCATATTTTTATTTATTTAAACTTTTTGCACAAATAAAGTGTTCAAATGGCGGACTTAATATTTTCTATGAATAATAATTCTGACGGAAGATGCGTCACGTCACATCGTGAAACGTTAGAACTGACGAATTATATGATATGACATTCGACGGAAATTCTACCGAGTGCTAACACATACTTCTGTGAGAGACTGTACGGATCTTCCGTAAGATTTTTATTGACTACTGCTTATTAAAACAAGTTTGTAATCAAATTGTAAACAGATGCAGGACAATGTTTAATAGCACTATACTACATAATGATCTCAAGATCTTTTTTTCTCATTTTATGTAAACTTTTTGTTACATTTTTAAACTATGAATAACACGTTGAAACTTCCCGTAGAGTAACATGAGGTTCAAATACCTTATCACCTCTAAGCAGTGTAGCTGTAAAAATGTAACCGTTCTTAATAAACAGTTATTTTTCGAAATTTAATATTGATTAAAAAGTACGTATAAATAGAGAAGGTAAAATACTGATAAATACGCACTCGCGCCCTGAGGTTTCCGTAACCATATTTTTTAAACCTATGTATATGTTTCATCATAATAAGAATTTATGCATCGTGGAAAATTAATTAAATATGTTTTGACATATTATTATGCACATACTCGTATTAAGCCATTTCATATGACACATCACTTGAACTAGTACCTAGATTTACAAACAATTTCAACTGTCGATCCGCTTTAATATTAAATATATTCAATGATCTTATTTTTTCCGCAACATCGTCCGCGTGGTATAGTTATATAGTGGAGAATTTCCAAAAAACACTAAAACAAATATTTATTCACTTTATCATATAAAAGACGTCCTATCTCAAGTCTAGTGGTTTAGGCATTTAAGCGTAATAACGTAACAAACATACATACACAGGCTTACTTTAGCATCTATAATATTAGTACCTATGTAATAATTCTCCTTGTCGATCGATCATAACATCATAGAATAAGAGATGATCAGACATTTACCCAGTAAATAGACTAAAATATAAATCACACTTGGCATTGATCCCAATTCACAATTTTTATACTCACATCTGTTTTTTTCTTTTCGAGTTTACTAGAAAATATTTTGTTTGAACTAATGATAAAATATTTAGGGTATTTTATAATATATGTCATAGCCAACTGGATAAAACGTCCATCCAATTAGGTGACTAGATTAGAATAGAATAGAACAGCGCCGTTCATTTGCACGGCTAAACGTCGATCAGCTGAATAACTGCCCCACCGTCCCTCCACACTGTGACTATAAATCTCTACGGTACTTTCTTGATTTCTCCATGATAACTCTTTCGGTTTTCTTTCAAAACTTTATAAAAAAACTCATATTCTTTTAGTACTTCTTCGTATTTGTATTGATATCTTAGTTTCGAACTTTTCAAATTTTAGTTTTTTAATACGTTAATTTCAACTTTTGCTAGAGTCGCCATCCAGTGAGGTGCTTTTTAGTGTTTTTTTAAATACTTCTTCATTAGGATGTATTTAAAAAAATAACTCACTTTTGCGTATACGCCCCTTTAGCTTAAAGCCCGTGATATGTATATAAACCAACTAACGTTTAATATGCTTCAGCACTTTAAAAACTTTTAAAATACAGATGGGAAAAAAACATGAATCAAAAAACACAAAACTTAATCGATATCTGAAATCTACTCAAATTTTTTCGCACCAAACTTTAGCGCAGTTTAGTTGAAAATAAATGTCATCTAGTATAGCAAAGCTTAAAGATCTCACTACATTTTATTTTAAAAGGTTGTTTATTTTTCTTAATTAAAATATTCAAATATTTTCAAAATTTAATATTTAGAACGTCATTTTTGTTCAAAACTTTGCTATCAAATAGCAGTTTCCATCACTATTTGAATATAATAATCCATCCATCACTATAGCACTATTTAAATATTTATAAATAATGTGAGATATATTTATTAAACTGACAAATCAAATTGTAAACAATGGTTGCTATGGCAACATTTTGATACCTCATAAAAACTACTGAAATTCCAATTTTCATCGATATAGGTCCAAAAACAAAAAAGTGTCATACAAACGTTTTCACCCTTTTGTGACCCTTCGACGATATTGAAATTAAAATATTTGATCAATTAAATATCCAAATAAATCAATCCAATAATAATATCATCGGAAAGAATGTCACAAAAACAGAGCATGGATGATAACCGCAGCTGACTTAATGAGATAACTTTAATGTAAAAAATTATCGCTGGAGGAAATTAGTTACAAATTATTATCTGGCTCACAAATCAAATATTTTCATCAACACTTTTTAATTTAATGTAATAATTATAGGTTCTTATATTATTACATGTTCAAATCAAAATCTTCCTCCCAATCAGACAAAATCAACTTAAAACATTAGTTATTTCATTATTTAAGCATATGCAACATACAGCCATTATCACTGACAATGTTTGAACCAGTGATACCTTTTGCTTTGTCACTAGCTAAATAAAGAATCAAGTCGGCGATCTCCTCGGATTGGGATACTCTTCCGAGTGGAGTTTTTATATCGAATACAACATCAGGTGTAACACCAGCGTTGTCATAAATATCAGTTACAACAGGTCCAGGACTTATAGCGTTTACTCTGACGCCAAAAGACGCCAGCTCCGCAGCGGTGCTCTGAGTGAAAATATTTACTCCAGCTTTAGAACAGCAGTATGCAGAGGCATTTATATCTGCGACCATACTGCTGACTATACTAGAAACATTCACAATATTTCCTTTGGTTTTGACGAGATGCGGTGCAGCCGGCGGCCCATAGACGGCCCATAGATTGATTTTCATAATTTTGTCATATGTTTCAAGAACAGTTCCTTCAAGAACACTGGCAAATCCAGTGATTCCAGCGTTATTGACGAGCACATCTAATTGACCAAATTTCATTATGGTCTCGCTAATAATTCTCTTGGCGTCTTCATCGTTCGAGACGTCAGCTTTAATGATGATATGCTTCCCACCGACTATTGAACATTTCTTGGAGACATCCATCAATTTCTTCTCATTCCTACCGACTAGCGCCACGCTGGCGCCTTCTTTACAGAACATGACCGCAGCTGCAGCTCCGATGCCAGAACTGGCACCCGTCACTATCACCACTTTACCAGAGAAACTCATTGCCACTGATGACGATCTATGACTGACGTCGTATGTACCGAAACTTGCCTTTATAAGTGATGCGTGATGATCACCGATAAACGGATTTACCCAATTGTGAACTACAAAATTGTTATTTTTCAAGGTTAATAATATCTTGTTCTAGACCTTACGTAGATTTTGCTTCGTCATTGTTCGAGTAGATTATATTTAGTATTATCAACATTTTGATGATTGGTGATGACATCGCAAGTTTTAGGAATGTTAGGATTTTCATCTGGTATGCATAAGGTACATAAGACAACTGGAAATTAATCTGGTTCAAAACCAGTACGTTTGGATTATTTGCTATATGTTATTTTATATAAAAAAAGTCGAAAAAGTTGCGAATATTTTATTTTTTGTTAAAAGGAATCCTTCTTATTTATAACCAAGTTCATGAGACTTTGAAATTAGATTAAAAAGAATCATTTTTTGTTTTTGTTTAGAATGTGGTTAATTAACAAGTCAGTTTACAAAAATATTATAAGCAAATCTTGTTAGATAGTTTTTTTAAACACAGTATGTTTTTTAAAGTACTTTTTTACAGAAAAACTACAAAATTTCAATAAAGACATAGTAATGTAAGGGGTTTGTGTATGACTCGAGGTTAAAAATAAGAGCTCTAGGCACGTTTCACCATTCAGCAAGTGTAATCACAACATAAGTATCTACTAAAGCAGCGGAACCATAAATATTAAAGTGTTTTGTTAACGCGCTTCTCGGCGGACTAAGTAATAAGGCTCATTTTCATCCGCAATTATAGTAAAGTTCCCGCGCTCGAGGGTTAGCGAGAGTGGTCGTTGGTTGTAAACCGAGCTCCTGTATTTAAAAAAAGACCGCGAAGTTCTTTTTGCTAACCATAGCGTTACAGTAATCAATATAATACCTATATAGAAAAGTTTTATTTTCGCAGTAACTGAGCTATTATGTTATGTGAAAACAACTATTGACAAGTATAATAATTCAGAGTGAACCCTCTATATTGATACCTGTTCAGAGTATGAGAATATGAAATCTTAGATATAAGTTTAATTGCAATTTGATGTACCATTGGCGGCTGGTGAAATGAAAAAAAAAACTGTTATGTTGTGAAGCACAAATGCAATCTACATCGTCGATTAGTTTTTCTTACAGTTGCCCTCCTCGCCAATAGCATAGTATAATATTCCAACTACCTTCTACATAGTATTCGCGTGATGTGATCTTCAACACGTTTGCCTGTAGTTTTCGAAAGGCGCTATATCTATGTAATATTTTACATAGTATTATTTGCTTTGGTAATAACCACACATGCCACATCCTTTACGAGGTGGACAGACAACCAAGCGTTACAAGACACTGTCTCTTAAGTATAATTTAGTATAATACTTAATTATACTCGTAAACCATACAGATATTGTGAAAACGTTACTTATAGCCCTCGGTTACAAAGTCACCCTACCTGTGATTCACTGGCCCCCTGCGATACTAACATTAATCGTAGTGTTGTAGTACTATTCAATGTAAAACAAGCAGACACACATCAACCATTTTTAATAAGAATATCCATCACATTATTAGAAAAACACATTTAACTACTACACATACAGTACGTGCTCACGTTTATTTTAAAAAGAAATATATTTTCAATTGAAGTATGCATCGAAAGGGAAAATATACAATAATAGCAATGATTTATATTTACATTCTATAAAAAAATATGTACTTATATATATTTTAATTGTAAAAATATTCCTTTCGGCTGTTGTGTTAAATCGCATGAGGTAATGAAAAAACACTCACTAGTAGCGTACTTATAGATATATAGATAAATGAACAAACATTTTAGTCAACATCGCAATAAAATAATACACTATGAAATTATATAAAAATCGTTGAAGTTATTTGTTCTCAAATATAATTTTATTGCAATACCTCTTCCGCGTTTTCTTACTTTGGGCAGCATTTATTAAACGAATATTTATTCAAAATATCGTATAAAATACCTTAAATAAGTTTCCATGATTTTATCTTTGACAATAATAAACTTCTTTACAAACTTCAATTCCTTATATCCACCCTTTTATCACAATAAAAAGCAACATATGTCCTATCGCAAGTCAACTCTATTTAGTGGGTCAGACGTGAGAGCATAACTGATATACACACAGACTTAATATTAGTATGGAATAATTAAAGGAATCTCCTTGCCGCGCATTATATTATATATAATTCAAAGTTTAAATTGTTATTATTTAATGAATATTTCGTAGACAACTAACTAAAAGATCCGTCCAATTAAGCGGCTAGCCCTATAATAGAATAACGGCTAAACGTCGATCAGCTGAGTAATCATCACAACGTCCTTCTACAGTGTGGCTGTACAAAGCCCTGGAACTGGTTAACTGTCAAGAATCACAATACGAAATACAATAACTAATTTTATTAAAATTTTAATTGTCATTATCAGCCCTTTTATGTCTCCACTTTAGTGGCTCAGGCCTTCCTTATGGATGGTTAAGGAGGATAAGCCATGATCCTCCACGCTGACCGAATGCTAATTTAAGGACAGGACTAAGAAAGCAAGCTACTAGTAACAAAGCTAAAAGTTCTTACTAAATTTTATTTGCAAACTCAACCTTGACCAAAACAGTGTAAGGTACTAGTTGGTATACTTGACGCGATTTAGTATAGCACAAAATAATCGTTTGTGTTATTATAAAATGATTTGTACAATACAAATCAAAGATATTTAAAATATATATATATGTAAAATGTTATTTTGGTTATTAATTATGTATACAAATACCATATTTTATCACAGATAAGGAAATCATTAAAAATTTGATAAATTTATTACAATGACAAATCAAATTGGAAACAATGGTTGCTATGGTAACATTTTGATTCACCATTAAAACTTTCACTCCCATTTTTATCCCTTTAAGTGCTAGTTTTCTGGGATGAAATATAACCTATTACCTTCCTATGGCCTTAAACTACCCAAATACAAATTTTCATCGATATGATTCTAAAAACAAAGAAGTTTTATACAAACAATTTAAACCTTTTTTGACCCTCATCGGGGTAGAATTTCCAAAAATCCGTTCTTAATATACCTCTACGTAATAAGAGGAATGTCCCCTGCAAATTTAAAGTCTGTACGACCATCGTCTTAGGGTATGCAGCTGTGCATTGTCTGTCAGTCAGTATCTTTTACATATGTATAGATTACTATTTCAATACTGTTACAAAAATTATTACACCTATTATTTCCATACTCTTAAAAGATTTTTTAATCTAGACTTTTGCTTTGAAATATCACAGAAAATAGCCATAAGCTATCAAAAAACCCTCGCGGCAGCAGTTAGTATTAAATCACTTACTAAATCCATACTTAATAAATTGAACTAAAGTTTAGTCTATATCTAACTTTTTGAATGAGCCCTCGACGCTGCCGAAAATGTCTGACATGGTTTTAGGTTTTCCAGGCCTCTTGGATTCTGTCACACGCTTCTTATTTTCTCTTATAAAAAATTCCTCATTTTCTTTCATCCATTGAATGACATCATCTGAAACACAAAAAGTGTAGAATAATAACAAATAAACGCCCCACAGAAATTATTATTTGCAGTGAGATGTTAAATACACATAACATCTCACTGCAAATAATAAATTACCTAACTTTTTTGACTGCCTTTGAAACTTGAATTAACGCAAACATTATCACGCTCGTCTAGGATTGCAAAGCTTCGACAGGGTCAGTCATCAGAAAAGTGATCACAAATCGGGATTTGGACGGGACGTTTAGCTTTCGGTCCCGGCTGCATTCTCAGTCGTTGGCACCCTAATCTTATCACTTATCCTACATTGCGGACTATGGCCTATTCATCGTGTGTTTCTCTCCTAAGTTACAATAAGAACAACAAAAACAATGACTTGTTTTCCTACAGCGAGGATATTAAATATCTGATTTTTCATATATTTTCTTATTTATCCTTCATCAATGCGAGAAATTGTACGATTGTCTGAAATATCAAGATAATCAACATTTTCTTCACCTACCTGAAGCCTGCTGTAAAGTTTTGAAGTCCCCACCAGCTTCCTTGGGCAACCCTTCCATAGGCACGAAGGGGTCCAAAGTCTTAGAGCCTATTTGGTGTATGTGCAGTACGTCGAGCAAATCCTTCTTCAAGAATGGCTTCAAAAGCATCATCAACTTGTCCATAAAGGATGGCGCATTCAGAAAGTGGAGGCCATTCAGTTTCAAAAGTATTGCTTCCTGGAGAAATAAAAATACATTTAAGGCTTTCTTTTTCAACTGTACACATTTAATTAATTGTTCTAAATCGTTTATTAATTCCTCATCACTCCCACGTGTTATAGCTCGTTTTCTATGTATTTCTATTAATAGAAAAAACCTGTGCCTCTGCAGTGCAGACTACAAATATGGTAACAAACATAAGTCAGCATGATACTCGTATCATGTTTTGCTATTGCGCGTGCAAAAGCATATGTTATTATGTTATAAAGTTTAAAAAAAATATCCTACTTATGTACTTACTTCTGATATTCATTAACTAGTAAATATTGTACTGATTTTAACACCAATATGGAAGCCAACTGGAAGCCAAAGTTAGATATATTGGAGAGAAACAATTATGAAAGTTCTTCACTGAAAGATAAGAGAAAATGTATGGCGTATTCTTTGTTTTTTAGTGTCTCATTTTTTAAACTTTCAAATAGAAAAATTGCGCTGTTCTCTTTATCTATTTTAGTTTTTAATATATTTAAATATAATGAGGATAATAAGTCCTCTTTTCCGCAAAAACAAAATCAAATCTTATTAACATTAATCATTAGTTATAAAGGCATGTTTTGCTAGACCTTCATGCCTTTAATGCATCTATAAAATGTAATATTATCTTCTGTAAGTTCTACCTGTAGGTAATAAAGGAACTGCTGGATAGATTGGAGATCAAGCCTGGCGAGATGGCCTAAAGTCATCTGATTCAGATCTATGATGATGACGAAACTGGGCCAAGTACCCGTCTGGTACTGCCACAGATCCAACACCATAAGGACTGATCTGTTGAAAATATTCTATTTTAATATCTTGTATCAGAAACTCAAGCAGATAATAAAAACGTGAAATCTTTTTTCGTTTTTATTCAAATAAACCTAAAAAACGATTTTATAAGCAATACTAAATAACTACACAAATAAAATAATTTTATAATCGACATAGACATAAAACAAATCATAAATTCTAATGCAGAACAGAACGACTTATAGTCAGGGCCCCTTGGGAAGATTTGATTGGTAAAATTTTAAAACTATTTAAATTGTATAGTCATTTAGTATTACTTCACTGAATTCTAAACTACTGGGCTTGTTTCTTTCTTTTTAGTTTTTATTTAAATTAATTTTTTCATGTATTTTTAAAAATTCGCATTAACGCAGTCGGGTTTTTTGTTTTTCTTTAAATTATTTATTTTTATTTTATACTTTTTAGTTACGATTCGTTGACTTCGTTGTAAGATGGTAAATTTCGCAATCTAGTCATTTCATTGAGGGATTTTATATCGTGGTGATTATTAAGTAACATGCGGTGGTCTAAACTACTGATGACTAGTCCCTCTAGAGACCTAACTTGGCTCAAAGCTACATATGCTTGACCTTTAGCAAAAAAGTAATTTTTTTTTTACCAAAAATATTTGTTCTTTATGCTTTTTAACTGTTTTTTTTTTGTTTGTATATCGTTTATACTTAAAATAAAAACTTAAATATTAAATAAACAACTTTAAATCGTTATATATCCTTAACTATTATTTAAAATGAAAATTGATAAAAGGAACCTGAAGATAATTTTAAAATACCTATTCAACGACACCCCACTTGACATGTTTCAACGTTTTTTTTATTTTCATTTAGACAATATGGCGTCTGGTTGTCGCTGTGGTGAATTTTGATTACTGTCATGTCTTTGGGGACACTCGCAAGGTTAAGACGAATCGATTTACGTAAGAATCATCAAAATCGGCCTACACATTCGGTCTCTAGAACGCCACATAGAAACAAACATACATACATAGACTGATAAACACATTACCCTCCTTTGCGTCGCGCAGTCGCGCGGGAAAAAAGTAAATAATTCATTCAGGAGTCTTTGTATGCGCATCTACAATAAGGTCCTAAGCAAAATACAACAATTATTATAAGGTGTCTTCGTATATAACAGATACGAATGGTTGGACTTAAGATGGTCCAGCCACAAAATAGGTGATTCCTTCTAATCTCATCATATCTCAAAATTATCTTGTTGCCATTATTAAATTACTATGTTAGCATCATAAGATCATATTTATTTTACTCTCCATTTGCAATGTAATGATCTGATCAAGACATAGTTTTGTGAATGTCGTTACTCCCATTAGAGCTGGTGAGTTTCTGCTAGTTTTTCTTATCAGCCAAAAGACGTACTGAACAAGCGGGTGGGGAAAAAAAGTTGGACGATTCAAAAGTACTTTATTTTTTACTTGTTTGAATAAAGATTATTTTAACTTTGACTTATAAAGCACTATTAAATTATCCAACATGTTTTCACTACCAAATATTCAGGACACATTTTAATTGATAACACTGATATATACTAAACTTGTACTGAAGCGTTATTCTGTAAAAAATCCAGCGCCAAATACAGCGCTGTCACAGCATTACACGCACAACGCAGTATAGTAAACAATGTCATAATTATTATTATTGTTCTAGTTTAGCCTTTGTCCGTAATCACGCTTATGCGATTCCAGACATAAAAGGAACTACACAAACAAATGATTTACAGTCTACAGCAATGAGGAAAAAAATTAGAACGTTTTTCTTTTTATTTTAAACCTTAATGCGTCTAAAATATAGTTCACATATAAAGTAACAATCTTTGAAATACTGCTTTTATGTATATAAATGACCAGATTAACTTAATTTTATGAAATGACAAGTACTTCTGCATCGTCATACATCTAAAAGGAAAATAATACACATTTATTGCACTCACAATTACAAAAAGAAACAAGCAAGTACATTAATTATTAGGAACACATATAATGATACACATCACATAAAAAGAAATCAATTATTCTGGCAGAGCCTGAGTGATATGGGGAACAAACGTTACACTGTAAATTATTACACGTAGCTAACATACTTAGGTGACTAACTAATTAGTTCGCTAAACTTTTTTTTTGCATTCTTTAACTTACCTTACAGATTCTGAGAAGACAAAAGTCTTGTAATCAGGGTCTATCAACGAACAGTATATGACGGCGGAGTCATCCCGGGCACGCACCTCAAGAGGTAGGAAACACCTGCAAATTTCAAATTCAACATCATTTATACAGTCTCAACTTTTATAATTACTTGTAAATGTCGAATGCTATGCCATCGGTTCGCCAACACACGGCGGGAGGCCTTGCACTGAGAAGAACTGGCAAGATACTAAACAAAAGCTGCGTTTTTCTCCAAGATAAGGAAGTCCAATTACAAAGTGATCTCATCTTCCCTTTACATTAAAAGAGCACAAAAAAATATCTCATACTTTCTTTAATCGATATTCTCGTCTTTAAAATTCGATGACAATTATTTTGTGCTCTTTTAATGTATAATAATAGAAACTGAACAAAATTAAGTAGTCCAGAACAGTCTCATCCCCACCGGCAATAGCACAATATAACTTTTATAATAACTTATTAACAAAAACTATTAACAAAAAATAACTTATTGAATACACACAAAATTAAACAACGCCTGATTGTATCCAGTGTGATATCTAAAAGCGCCAACGCCAAATGCCGAAACGTGAACGAATGCTGCTAATAGAGATGACACTGCTCTCAGTTACTCTTCTCTATTTCTTGCTTTTACTATAAATATTGAATATTTATAACTTATCAATGAGTTATCAACATATTTGATACATACTTAGTCTTGCAATTGTGAATTATTTTCTCATCGACTGTCCTGTCCTTGAAGAAGCCCGTAAAAAGAGTCTTGATAGTAAAATTGAGATCTAAGACGGTCTTGGCGACACCTGAACTTCGGTCGCAGCAATGATACGCAAGGATTAAATCCAGATCTGTAATCAAAAATAGTTGAAAATTAATAATTAAAAATAATAATTTTTAATCTAAAGCCAGGCTCTGATAATTGAGTATTTTATGTTTGTTAGGTAATTTGTATAATTGCACATCGGTATGATTATAACAATTGAAGACGGCGAAACCTCTCACTGAGAGCATCGGAATGCATCTCGTTAAAAGGCGTAGATAAAATAATATAATAAATCTATGGTATCAGGGGTAGGCCCTCGACCTGGACTTGCTCTTTGAACCCTCTAATTGAAAACTAGGAAGGGGGAACGATACTAGAAGAAAAAGAAAGAATAGATAGTTAGGAATGTAAAGAAGAAGGTATAATTGGTTGAAAGGAAGATCAATAATCTTTAACTACTTCATAATCTGTATAAAAGTCTGTATAGATTGGGCAAAGTTTTTCCTACTATTCGAAGGATGAGCTATCAATTTGAAAGAAACATTTTGATTTTGATGTTGAGTTTTCAATGAAATCGCGAAATGCTAGTTTCCCTAATCAACTTATTTGGTTTAGCAATAATTCTAATTCTCTCTTCATCAACACCAGCCTATTAAAATCTCCACTGCTGGAGGGCTCAGGCCTTCCCTGTGGATGGAGTTGAATCAAATCGAACAAGGACAATGGGCCATGGCCCACCCACCACGCGAGCCCAGTGCGTATTAACGATTGCAGATGCAGCCGGGACCAACAACTTAGCGTGCCTTCGGAAGCAAAGAGAAGCTCGAGATAATTTTCGATAATTTTTCGGTCACCCATCTTATGATCGGGCATTGCGAAAGTGTCTTAACAACCGTATTGCATACCGTGCACCATTTGCGCCATCGAGCTCCTGTCTTACTCAAAATTCACTCGAAAATATATGTGTCGTATATTTCGCTAAGACTGGAAGGGCCTATAAATTTTTAATCTGTTACATGAATAATTTTTGTCCCTAATCTTCTGCATAACTATGTTCCTAAAGTCTACATAATACGACTTTGTCTTGATTCAGAGATTCGTAAGACGCATTTGTTTCAAATCGCATTAAAACAGTTGCATACCTTTAAATAATACAAAACAAACCACTTAATGGCATGTCACATGACTGCTAACAGCAACAATTTCTGCATCATTGGATAATTATCTTCCGCAACTCAACAATAATTACTAATGGTACACAGTACCTATTTATTACTACTATTATTTAATCACGAGACTATTAGATACACGCCACTTCAAATTTCTTAGACTTACCTCGTGTGTTTATAAGTTTTGAGACAAACTTTTTACTGAAAAAATAAAATAAAATGTTATTGGCTGTTATTTTTTTACCGATTTCGAATTTGAAATGTTAACTTTTAATCTATTTGTATCGCAAATTCATTTGTTTATATTTTCTCGTGATGGAGGGATTGAAAAAATTACGTGCAACTGTCATATCGCTATTTAAGGCGGGAAAAAACCCATGCAGATTTTCCGCGAGTTGAAAAGTTTTCCTGTAAGCTGTAACTTCGCCTATTACTATGTGAGGACGCCTGCGAACATCAAAATCATCCGAGAGCGACTTCGCTGAAATCCATGTCGCATTCAGAAGAAATTCGCTCTGCAAACTAATATTTCGCTCGTTTCAGTGAACAGAATAAAGGCCTAGAAAAGCCGTGAATAAGCTCACTTTTTAAACGATTGTCTTCGTAAGTCACGACGCAAACGTTGCCCATTGCTGTTGAGGAGACATGATGCCAGGGAGATAGGGCGCTTGTGCACTTCACCGAATTTTCAGGTCCGGCGGTCCGATTTTTTCCGATCCGAAATGACATGAAAAACCCGGATGAGTGGCTTGTGCACTTGTCCGTTTTTTTCCTGATCAGCAGCAGGTAGCTCTCTTTGAAGCTACACGTCACTTACGCTAGGTACGATGAGATTTTTGAAACGTCGGTAACTGCTTGTACTCTACGTGCGAAGACGTAGAAGACAGAACAAATATTGGGTTCATCCCCTTATAAGTAAAAGGTACCTAAATAATGACCTGACAAGATCATTTTACATAAAACATAATAAATTGAGGCAAGACGAGAGCATTTTTTTTAACTATTGTCGGATGACTACTATCAGATGTAAAAAATACTAATATAAGGAACAGCATTATTCACATACAATAGCTAAATATATCTGTGACATTAAAATAAAATTACTACTAATGTTCTAGTACTTGATGTTTAAATTTAAAATCTGTTTTTTGAGGTTTTGTAAAAACAACTTCAAGCGATTACAGATATATTGGCGCCATTTCGTAAACAAATCGAAATTAGTGCCGTGTAAGCGGAGAATTAATATGCTAAATGAACTTTACGATGGCATTTAAATCAGCCATCCTATTGTAAGTTTTAAATGTCATGATTTAACTATAATCATTGTAAGATCAGTTGACTTGTTATAAAACAAGAAATAAAAAAAACTTAAAGATGGTAAATTAAATTAAATAATTTATTTACAATAAACAAAAACAAAATAAAAGGAACGAGGTGACTGGTGAGGTGAGAAGTGAAGTAGTGAGAGTGAGAGTGTCAGTTTAGGTGATCTGTGAAGGGGCGTGGGTCAGCGGTAAAGTCTGTTGCGTCAGCGTAGATCCGTCGTCAGCGTAGGTGTTGTGGTGATGGGGCACAGGTCAGCGGTGAAGTTGCGGAGCGCCTTCTCGACAACGCATCTCTCAATGTATCGAGCAGATGGTTCTTCGTAGCCCGGAACGGATCAGCTGCTCAGGCCTCCAGACGAAGACTCGAAGACAGCTTCAGGAGAAAGTATTTCCGTCCAAGCTTGAAGGTGGTGAAGGAGGTTTAGTAGAATAATGTTAGTGTTTATTTGTTGATATTTAATTACAGCCAAAATGGTGTCAAGTTACTTTGAGACCGTAACTTTGAAGAGTTCCCAGGGCAATCGGCCCCGGGAAATAGGCCTTTTAAGAATTTAGCTAGCTCTATACGAGCTCCAAAAAGCTAACTTGGGCAACTGTTGCCGTTGAAGTGATGCAGAACTATTTGGGCGAGGCTTTATATACCTGAAGACGAACTCAAATTTAGAAGTAAATGATTTCAAATTAGAACCCAAAAAATTCAAAAACTACAGAATTTCAATGCCTAAAAACTGACAAACAATGAGTCAATTTTCATGAAAAGTATCAAATAAAACCACAATAAAACCATAGCAATGAAGAAAAACTATCATGTCAAATCTGTCAAAACAATTAAAATTAGCTATAAATTGTGTAATATTATATTAATAAGTGCTTTAATATAATTGGAATTCGTAAAATGTATAACGAAAATCTATGAAAGCTACGGGTAAGGGTTCACATTAGTGTAAGTAGTAAAAAACATAGGATGAAAGTTCGTAGAGGTTTATATTACAGAATTTTAATGGTTACATGTATAAAATTGAAGGTCGATTGTTATAGAATGGATAAAGTAAAGAATATAAATGGAAAACACTAAAAAGTTTATCGATATGAGCAAAATTAGTGATATGAATCTAAGGAATGAAAACGATACAAAAGGTTAGTTACGACAGACTGTATTATAAATAGGTATTATTTTATACGCGTGGTATAGTTAATTTGAGCATAATTCTTTTTCTTTTAGAATACTTCTGCTATCAAATATTTATTTATACCTATCAATTGCCTAAAAAGAAATTTTGACATTTAAAAAAATCCATGTAAACTTTCATCCCCTATTTCCACCTATTTTGCGCAATTAATATGTCCTTTCTCAAAGTTAAGTCTATTTCTATATTAATTTCTATTAAGATGGGCTCAGTTGTTTAGGCGTCTATATTTGTCTTACCTTAGGTTATCGATAATTTTAATACGATTCTAGAATCTAACAAAGTATCGATACTAGAATCATACGCTGATCAAATTAGAACTAAATCGAGTTTGCCAAAGCATATGCAGTGTTATTAACCAACTATATTAAATCATCATATAAAATATACACAATAATCTACAATAAATATCGATTATCAGTACATCGAAAATTAACAGTATTGATTGTTCATAAATCGATAACTTTTTCCCACGCCTACTCCGCAGGCTCATGAATTTTCCGGATCGCGAACACAGCAGTGTAGTGCAAAATTCAGTGTAGTGCACAAGCGCCCTTACTCTTCAGCGACGATAATTTTTTTACTGTCGAAGAAAAGTTCAATCGACAAAACAAAAAGTGTACGCTAAAAGTAGCAAGGATGTCCCAGCTTCTGCACGGAATGTCTCGCGCGCTCATCATCCGGCTAGTGTGATGGTATGGTAGGAAGGTTCGTATAAAGGTGTCACTTCGCTCCGTGTCAAGGTGAAAGGCAAGAATTATCAGAGTGACATTTTAGAGCCCGAGGTGAAACCTCTGTCTAAAACATTATATCACAATAATGAATGGGTTTTTTAGCGAGACTTGGTGCCATCCCATAAGGCGAAAATAATGTGCCGGCCGTCATCGCGGCGAACGAGTGGCCCTCCTCAAACCCCGACCTCAACCCGGTGGATTATTCTTTATAGACTGAATTAGAGCTTGCCGAATGTCACACCCAAACTTGGAGTCACTGAAGCGAACCGAAGAACGAGAACCAAAGTGAATTCCGATAAAAAAGATTCGTGCTGCCATTGACGACTGGCCAAATCGTCTAAAGGCCTGTATTAAAAACACGAGCGGTCATTTTAAATAAAATATATATATTCTATTCTTGATTATTATCTATTTAATGGTTGCTGAAAATTTTAGAAATATAAGTTTATTATTGAAAAAGATTTATTTAGTCTCAAAACTTATGAACACACGAGGTAATTGTCATGATTTTATAATTATTAGCTTTTTAGATTTTTTTGTAAAACCGAAGTTTACCAAAGTTTAATGGGAAAAGTCTAAATGTCCTGTGATCGTTGTTCATTTCTCCATCACTCCCACGCACTCGATAAATTTTAGGTTTTGCATTATAACTGTATCTCACTTCTATATTATATATTATCCTTGGTGGTGGTACTTCTATATTATATATGTTTCTTGGACTGTATTATATATTATTGTGGTCAAATTAATTTGTCTTTTATTTCTACATTAGACTTTGTTTTGAATACTACAGAGTGGATCTTGCGCCACAACGCACTATCTTAATCATACTTCCTTAATGTTCATAACTCTTTTCATTCATGCTCGTTTGCTCGGTTTCTGACGTCACCATCCAACAGCCCTTGATCGATTCGAACGTGAAAGGTGTGTAACGGCGTTCCCTGGCTTCAACAATCCTCTACTATCGTTTTGGCATGATTTTTTCTACAAATCTCTATCGAACTAAACAATGAATAAACAAACCTGTGATATGGTCAGCTGGTAAATGGGGCTGTGTCTGCATCCATTCTCGTAGTTTGGTGATGTCAGACGGTGAAATCAATGTTTTCTTCTTATACTCCTCTTCCAGCGTAATCCCCCCTACCTTTCCCGGAATCGCCATAATTAGAATGAACTAGAATTTTAATAACAAAAATTATTTATATGAATAAATATTTGATACCATCAAATATTTTCCTTCAATTCTACATTGGTTCCAAATAACAGCTCGTGTGCTGTGAAATTAAAAACAAATACTTCAACATCTATACCAGAGAAAATATAGAAATGTTCTTTTTCCATATAGGCCCAGCCATGAATATCATCTACTAATCCCCCTTCGATGAACCCTTACTTTTGGGGGCAGGAAGAAGCATCCAGCACAGACTGCTCCTCACCCAGCCCCCGAATGACCTAATCCTGCCACAAAGATTATATAAAAAAAGTTTCAGACGTATATAACCTTATGAATTTATTTATGTACTTATCCATAAAGACTAATTATGAATTCACTTAACTCTAAAATAATTAATAGTAGTTGATGACGTAACATTACCAACATTTAATGCAAAAATCAATCCGTCTGAACGCAAAGTACTCAAACATAAAAGGGTGGATTATAATCGTGGTCCAATGGACGGAGTTTATGGATTTTATGTGCAAGCAAACTGAAGTATGACAGTTTGTATCAAATCCTCTTACTAGTATAACATCGATCTTATTAATTAAATGAGTAAGTAAAGGTATCTCTCTGGTGTGAACAAAGAGTAGAATAAACGAGGGGGGGGGAACCCGACGAGTCCCGGCTGGACTTGAGGTCTCTTAAAGAGGTTACATTGCAGTGTTTTTAGTTGATAAGTCTCCGATATTCATTGAAGTGAACATTTCGTATGCGCCAAAAACGAGTGTTGGAGGACTTAAGTTTGCTTTTCTGAATTTTAGTAGATACTGTAATGTCCGAGCACTTCATTATGTATTTTATTTCTCCCATTGGAGGTCGCCTTAGGGCCAGGGCTAACTATAGAGTATACCCAATACTGTCACTTTTAAATTGTCATTGAGTAAATTTTAATTAATAAAGTCCTACGATATTTTTGATGACAAAACGTCCATTGGAACAGAGGTGATAATATGGCATGATTTCACAATTTGCCAAACAATGGGGCAAATGTGTTACATTTATATCATAGTCATAAAATTTCAATAAGAAGTTTGGTCCAGTGATTAGGTTAGAGATCAATTTATAATATATTTATCTACTGCAATGGATTATTATCAACGCTTATATGACCTTCTTAAATGGATAGAAAAAAGTTAAGGATCTATAAAACTGATATGTCACTACAGCACAAGAATATAATTATATATTAACAAGTGTTTTAAGACGGAACTGATTGTTAGAGTCATTTTTAAAATGACCTGTTTTAAAATAACCTGTTAATATGACCTGTTAAAGTATAATACATACATGCATGCAATGCTCTATGCATTTTTAATTTTAAAACAGGTCTAGCTGAGTTTTTTGACTGGTCTTCTAATATGGTTTTCTAATATAGATTTGGGAACCGATAGTGACCTTCACTTTAGATTGAATAAAGCATATTTCATTATTTTAATTCTAATTCCTGTCTGTTAACTGATTGTTAAAACTGGCCAGTTGTAAGAAAAAAATGAAGAAAACTCATTAATTTTTTTATAAAACCTTTATATTTCAAAATATGGTTTTAAATTAAATGATAGTATCGCTTCTTATCAAAAAAAAATATCTATTTAAAAAAATACATTATGCATTAACTTATTCAATCTATTAATAAGGCCGTAAGTTAAGTAGATGTGAAGTGTCAACAAGCGCATAAACAGTAGTGCGTCACTTGCTGTTTCTATAGAGGGGTCATTATAAATACCACGTTGAAAGCCGGCAATGAATACTAATCAACGTCATCATTGCTTGTTTGACCAATTCAACCAGACTTGTACCATGTCATATCTACATCGCTTAACATAACCGAAATCAATGTCGGAAGATCGAGGTCAAATACAATTTAACTTTAATAAACATAATCATAAAACTCTAATTTCCTTGCTGTAACTATTATTATAATTTAATTTTATGAAGGACACAGATTATTATTTCTATTGGGAAAATTAATAAATGGCGCAGTGGATAGCTCGGAAATTAAGGAGATACAAGAAGATAGGTGACTAAAAATTTACTGTCACTACGTCCGGACTACAGCCGTTAACACCGACCAATCCGCACTGGGTCCGCGTGGTGGTTCACTGCCCATTCTCTCTATTCGATGCGATTCGATTCCATCCACAGGGAAGGCGTGTGCTCCAGCGGTGGGGCCATTAATAGACTTGTAAAGAACGATAATTTTAAATTTTAAACTCATTCATTTATTTTGTCACCTTTTCGGTATTATAAGGCGATTTTTGTGTGGGAAGGCAATAGCTTGTCTGTTGCTTGTATGTGTTTTTGTTTTTTTTTGTGTAGATAGATAGCGCTGATATTCAAGTTTCCATATCTGTCATATCAGGGGGTCTCAACGCTAAGTTAAAAATATTTGTTCTAATAACTACAATATGTAATATCCAGTATAATTTCTTAAAGGTATAAAATTCTTAAGGGCGGAAAAATAAATAAAGGGATATTTAAACTAGTTTTCGTAAAATAACAAGTTGTCACAGTTTTCGAGTAAAATTATGCTTAAAAATTATGCTATGCAGATATGGCGCTGTAAATTGCTACATTTTAATTACTAATTTAATTAAAACATTTTTGCTAGATTTTTCATTTTTTATTGTTTGAAAATTTAAAATAAATAGAAGACAATAAACTTATATATAATAGTAGACACAAGAAACTGTTATAAGTAGGGGCAATTCGTCGACAGTTTGAAACTATATCTGTGTCATCAATCATTGCAATATATGTAGATTACATACCTGCCTACCGTATAGGTATTTTTAGTGAAACAATTTTAAAATAAATCACCAACTTGTTACTTTTGCTACAATGTTTTTTATGGTGTACTACGAATCAATACCAACTATTGACGTTTATGCGAAAATTCATAGAATAGTCCCTTGCTCACATGCGGTATCTAGCGCCGACTCAAGTAAGACAAAATAGCCAGAAGAATAACCCGCGTTGGGGCGATCACATTTTGTTCTATGGAATGAGGCATCTGTATAGTTTATGTGTATCTGTGGTCATAATTAAGTAAAATTAATTTGTAACAAATAGCTGCTAATTAACCATTGCTTTTTTGTTATTGTACCGATTACGCTATCTCTAATAATTTTCGAAGATTGAAGGTAAAAATTAAATATTAAGTACTAACTATATAATTATTTTGTGTGGTATTTCACGGCCGTTTTTATATTGTATTTTTTTAATTTGTTTATATGATTGACGTGAGCTGGCTGGTGGTGTGATGATACTGAAGTACATCTTGATTGTTAATTAATTTATTAATCATACTTTTTACACATATATATTTATGATATTAGATAAGTATTCATAGTTCTCTGCTAATGACGAATCTATGAACCCTTCCAGTAATGAAAGCTTTTGTTCACGCTTAGTGAATTTCTCAATCAAATTTTAACGAATCCCCAAACTTGATCAATGTATGCCACATCAATGCCCAAAGTGTCCCTAGTCATTATAATGAGCTTTCGGGTTATAATGAACATGCAATTCTCATATCTGAATCCTGGTTAAAGTCAGACCTTCAACCTTCTACTTACATTCTCCCTGGTTTTACCTTTATTCGGAACGACCGATGTGGTCAGGACGCTGGTGGTGTGGCCATATATTTACATAGTATTTTCTCTTTTAAGGTGTTTGCTTCCTCTAATTCTGATTCTAGGACTGAGATAAAAAACTGTGCTCATCAAATCCAATACAGTAGGGTGTGATAAAATTAGTCGTCGCAAGATTATCATTATACTTGACCATCAACTCCCTGCAATAACGCGCAATGTTAATTCCTCCCTTAATTCTGGCGTTTTTCCTACCCTCTGGCGTAAAGCTTATCTACGCCCTATTCCTAAAATTCCTAATCCAGTTGAATTCAATAAATTTTGTCCGATTTATATCCCTCCCCTGTATGTCGAAAGTGCTTGAAACCTGTGTCCATAAACAATTTTCCCAATTGGTTCACAAGAATACCTTGTTGAATCCACTGCAATCTGGATTCAAAAATTTCGGCACTCCTTAAAGTGATTGGCGATATAAGGGCAAGAATGGAGAAAGATAAAATAACTTGTTTAGTTCTGACAGATTTCTCTAATGCCTTCAATACTGTCATGATATCCTGCTATCCATACTATCATATCTTATGGTGCCTGACGAAGTATCTGCTTGGTTTTCTTCTTATCTTTGGGAGCGTCAGCAGTTGGTGAACATTGACAAATCGTCGTCATCTTGGGGCCATCTCGAAATTGGGGTTCCTCAAGGCGGCATTCTTTCTCCTCTTTTCTTTTCATTTTTTATTGATTTTATCGCTCACCAGTTTCAGTATTCGTAGTATTTGTATGCTGACTTACGTAGGCGGGATGATAAATAGCTAGCCCAACTCATATTTTGTATAATAACGATATAAAATTTCCTTAGTACTTTACTCATTGGTTGGGTATTTCTATGATTTCGTGCAATCGTGAATTTTTTGGCAAATCTTATCACTCTAAAAGCCTAAAAATATTTTTAATCTATAAATAGGCTGTTTATCTATTTCTGCCACATAAAATTAAAGTAAATCGTGTCGAATTACGTGTATATATTTTGACGCTACTGCTAAAAAAGGTCGGCAAGTACGTGCTTCAACCAGTTTCAACCAGTTTTGATTTCATTTCCTACATCGGATTGTTCATGTAAGTAGTTATAGTTTTTTTATACTTTTGGTCTGGAAGCATTTGTTATTTGTATATTCATATTTCTTATTATTATTAAGTACGTAAATCTATTAATTACCGAGCAAGATCAAAAACTGTTTTAAAAATTCACTACCCTCACTTCCATTACCATCAATTTCCTTCAGCTATGAAAGTGATGGTAATGAACTAAAAATGAGGATAATGAATTTTACGTTTATTTTTATTTGATATTATCTGTAG